ACTGCACCTCCCAGCTTGGTATCATCTTGCTGAGAGTGAACTCAATGCCACTGTCAATATCATTAATGAAGATATTAAATAACTCTGGCCCCACCACAGACCCCTGAGGGACACCACTTGTCACCATCCTCCATCTGGACATCAAGCCATTGACCATCACGCTCTGGATGTGACCATCCAGCCAGTTCTTTATCTACTGAACAGTCCACCCATCGAACTTGTAATTCCCCAGTTTACAGTTTAGGATGTGGTGGGGGACCGTGTCAAAGTCCTTGCAGAAGCCCAGACAGACAAGACCCATAGGTCTTCCCTTGTCAACTGATGCAATCACTTCATTGTAGAACACGACTAGGTTGGTGAGATAGGACTTGTCCCTACGAAATCTTTGCTGACTACCTACGATTCCCTCCCTGTCCTCCATGTGCCAGAGTACAGCTTCTAGGAGGGTCTGTTCCATTATCTTCCTGGGCACAGAGGAGAGGCTAACAGGGCGGTAGTTCCCAGGGTCTTCTTTTTTACCCTTTTTGAAGATGGCATGATGTCACCCTTTTTCCAGTTGCTAGGGACTTCACCTGACTGCCATAACTTCTCAAATATTATGGAGGTTTGCTCAGCAACGACATCAGCCAGTTCCTTCAATACTCTGGGATGCAACCCATCAGGTCCCATGGACTTATTTATGTCCAGGTTCCTCAGGTAGTCGTGGACCTTGTCCTTGCTTACAGTGGGAGGGACTTTATATCTACTTGGTCCTTGTCCTATGGGCCCTTGTTAACTGTGAGCATTACTAGTACAGTCATGTCTTTAATATTAAGATTACTTCAAGGTTTTCAGATATTTCACACAAATTTACTTTCATATAGTTTTTTTCTAAGTCTATTAAAAAGCAATATCAGATTCTCTGAAGTGACATTTTTTTTATTTTTGAAGGATTCCTTTGATTCTGGAATTAGCTCGTTTTTCTGTGAAAGTAAACTACCCTGAGCTTGCCTATGATTGCATTCTTGATTTGAAGAGAGCTGGGATTACTGTAAGTATAAATTAATGATGGTTAATTTTTTTTTCTTTTACATCCTCACCGCCGTTGAGATTATACTTTAACAATGATACTGATGATTCTAGGATCTTCTGTTCTTCTCTGTATTGTTTATATATTCATTAATGTAAGTAATTGCTTGGATAAGTGATCGATTTCTAAATTAGAGGGAAGTTGCAAGGCCACAAGTAAAGATATATATATATATAGATAGAATAGGGTATTAGTAGTGCGGTAAGTTTTGGCAAATAAACATTAACTAAATTTTTGCCTTTGTTTTTTGAATGTTGTCTGTGGAACAGTTTGATTGGAAGTTAAATGCTTGCAGGTTTTGAAGACCTAACCAGTTTACCCATTGAGATTGTAATTGGTCACAATGATATAAACCCTAAAAGCAGTTAGTTACACCACTTCAGTCTTTATGAGTACAATATCAACCTTGCAGAACAGCATAGGAATTCTGATTTTGATGAGGAGAAAACAGAGCATTTGTCTGGAGCATGGCTAGGGGACTGATGGAAGGAGGAGTTCAGAAAAACTGCCCCAAAGTTGTTACCTTTTCAGAAAAGTAGGACTTAAACAGTATACTTCTGTCTTGGAATGAGAAATCCAGAGACAAGGTGTCAGAAACAGTACTCCCTAATCCTTTCCTTTGTGTGGGTCTTTTTGGACAGTGCTTGTTCCTATACACTTCCCAGTTTGCTTTAGTAGGAATGATTAATTTTCTAGCAAACTATTATTTGATTTGTTATTTACTAACATTTAATAATTTTTACTTTTCTGTAGTATTTTTATTACAATGTTACTGGAAGGGTATTCTTAGATTAAAATTTTGTATGGTCTCCCTGGTAACTGGTCTTTCAATCTGTGTGCTGTTTTTGAGTCTTTACATCCAGCTGACTCTGAGGTTTGTATTTTCTTTTTGTGACCTTTTTCCTGGTCTTGCTGTAACCTCAACCAGCAACTAAGCACCACACAACCCACTTGCTCACTCACTCCCTGGGCTGTGGTGGGATGGGGGAGAGTAACAGAAGGGTGAAAGTGAGCAAACTTGTGGGGCAAGATAAATTAAATTTATCTTATTTATCAATTAAAAAGAAAAAATAAATAATAAATTGTACAGAAAAGATGAGGGAAAAAGTAAGAGAAAAATACCCACCCTCACACCCCCAAAACAATGTAAGTAAAAGCAATTGCTCAGTACTGCCTGATGCCCAACCAGTCCCTGAGCAGCGGCCCCCCCACTTGCCTTCCCCCTCAGTTTTATTGCTAGGAATGATGTCAAATGGTCTGGCATCTCCCTTTGGTCAGTCGGGGTTGGCTGTCCTGGCCACGTCCCCTCCCAGCTCTCTGTGCACCCCAAGCCTGCTTGCTGGTGGGGCAGGATGGGCAGAGCAGCCTTTGGCAACTCTGCAAGCAGTGCTCAGCAGTAACTGACACGTCCCTGTCCCACTGAGACAAATTTACAAATGTATTTCCAAAGTTATATTATAATGATCTTTGAGTTACTTGTAAATATTACTGAATTTTTTCTATTTCAGGTGTCTGCTTCAGGCCCATTTTTTCCTGAAATTTTTCTACATTGCTACATTCCTACATGCAGGAAATGACATTTCCTAAGTCAAAAGTCATACACAACTCCACAGCATTGTACTGGAAGATGTGCTTAAATCCCTTAGCTCAAAGATGCACAATGGTTTAGTTTGAGTATTTGTATAGCCAGTAATAGCAAGTACCCCTTCGGTGGCAGCAGTAAAGAAGCGTTGCTTCTGTCCAACCTTCTCTTCTCCCTTAGAGTTAATAGGTGCTTAAGTGACCATCTTCAGATTGCCTGGTGTTCCCACAGTGGCCTCTTCATGGTGAAATGAGAGAAATCTGTATCAGGTTCTGTTTCCTTGGCTTTTGCCAAATACTGATGCATTTCTCAGCTGTAACATGAATTCCATCTCTGTGTATTTGTCATTACATGATAGTGGTAGTTCTGCATTCATCAAGTTTTTCAAGATCTCATCTGTTTTCCAGTCACAGGGATATTAAATTAACAAAGGTCATGCTGAGTGATTTGATAATAGTTCATAATGCATGAAGAATGGAGATGCTGTCTGGTTTTCCCTCCTGTACTGTATGAAACAAAATGCAAAGTATCTTAGATGATCCACACATATAACTTGTATGATTTAATAGCCAAATCTCTCCTGAAGTGTTAAAATCTATCCTCTTTTTTCACTTAAAAGTTGCACTACCCATAAAGATGAGTCCTTTATGTCTTGACTATCAGTTATTTGAAGCCTGTACATTTTTAATAACTTTAGTGAACAAGAAACTACTAGAACTGAAATTAAATTACAGTATAGGAAAAGCAAGCATACACTGGTTTTCTTTATGCAAAGTCTGGCAATGAAAACTTAAAAAATCTTGGTAAAGTTTTTTGCAGCTTTGGCTCAGTAAGAAGTGACTGCTATTCAAACAACAAATTCTGCTCCCTTTGGTTTCAGTTAAATAGCTGGTACAGCAGGATTTTCAGTAAGAGTGTAATTGCATGGGTTTAATCTTCATTGTGTTCTTTTTTTACTAATTTTATAAATTTTACTAATTATTAAATGTAGCATTTTTTATATTAATACTTAATAGGAGCAAGGGAAACTTATTGAAATAGAATGCCTGGAATATGAATATGAAATTAAAAAAAACGGCACTAAAATTGTGACTTACTCCAAAGGAGCTGTTGAGGTATGTTCTTTAACTTTGAGATAAAAGGTTTAATTTGTTAAACATGAAAAATTGCATCGCACTTGTGTGACTTAATTAAATTATAGTGATCAGCTATTTATTTAAACTTTATATTCTTTGTAATTGGGCTGCCAAGAAGAAAACAGGGAAAAATAACAGTTGTATATCTCTCTTAAGTCTTCTGTCTAACTATACAAGTTCGTAATATATCATGTCCCAAGAGTAAAGATGGCAGCATTGAGGCATGCAAAAGCAAAACTCTCTTGCTTTCATATTTTACACTTATGGGTGGTGTTTTCACAGAATATCTCAAGTTGGAAAGGACCCATAAGGATCACTGAGTTCAGCTCAAATATTAGTAACTGTTATGGGTGATCTCATACAGGGAAATGGAGATTATTCCTGATAAATTATTACACTGGGAGGATTTTCTTGGATTTCTGTAGTCATTTAACTCAGTTATAATTCACACCATCAAAATCAGTACCCTAAATTGTCAATGTTATCAATGTGATTAGACAGATGCTTAAAATGAGCAGTTTAGAACAGCTATTAAAGACACCTGAAGTTCCTAAAATGGGAAGTATGAATATGCTTCATGGGAATTGGTAGTGTTAATGCCTGTCTATGACTGCTCTCATTTTTGTGTTCAGAAATTCCATTCACCTTTTGAAAAAAAATACATTAATTCCTTGTACAAATATGAAACTGCTGATACTGCTTAAATAAAAAAAAACATATTTCTAAATACTCCTACCAGGGTGTATGCAGTTGGAAAGTATTTTCGCTTGATTTTCTTTTTTTGTGATCTTTATTTTTGCATGTCTGTTACTGTAGGTAAGGATTTGCTTTTAGATTTAATAGGGACCAAGTTTAATTGACAGTGTGGCAAATCCCATTCATAATATTTCTTTTTTTCCTCTGCCACAATGCATTTATAGCTTAGTATAAAAAAAAAGAAGCTAAGCCTTCTGAATTTACAAATATTTCACAATTTTCAATTTCTGTTTATCATAAGAAAGGGCAAAAGCTGACAGACTCTTTCCTGAAATATGTAGTAGCAGCATGGAGTACCTCAAAGAAGTATTCCTTAGTTAAAAATGCCTCTTAAAAAAAAAAAAAAGAAAGAAAGAAAAAGAAAGTTTCCAAAGTATGCTGGCTTAGGGACTACTTTCTATTGGAAACAGTCCTAATATTAAAATTTTGAGGATCACGTAATAGTTTGTATTCATTAAATGCAATATATGCTAATTAGTTTTTCATATCTGTAGGCTCAGTTGAAATTGATAAAAAATCTTGAGTTAACCTTAAAACGTGCAGTTCAGTTGAGAGATCCTGATGTGATTCAGGTTGTTTGTACAACCCAGTGGAACCTGTGCTTACCACTACTACAACACAACCTGCACCAGCGTGTGCGACAGCCATTGGTAGCCGTTGCTGATGTCCTTGAAGAGATTGACAGGTAACTTTCTATGCTGTGTACTTTTTTTATTTGTTACTTTGAAAAGTAATGCCTGAACATCAAAATGATTTAAAAGCTCAAGCTTTATGATGTTGTGTCTTTGAAAATTTTCCAGTAGCTTGTAATAATTTAGCGTCTGTGTGTTGCATACGTTTCCTCGTGAATCATTTAAATTTAGCTTCCTTTCGGGCAAAATCTCACCCTGTTTAGTATTCTATAGCAAATATTGACATTTGTTAGGAACTGAACAATATTCTAGTTAATCAAAATTGTGAGAAAATTGCAGAGCTGCAACATGATTTAGTGCGTTCGCACGTCGTTCAGATTTTTGTATTAACATCACTTTTTTTTGGTTAAAAACATACAATTAAAAAATTACTTTTAAAAAATATCATGGTCTCTGTATTACATAGATTATTTGATATACAAGACACTTCTTGAAAGATTGTATTTCTGGTGATACTTCTTTTTAATTGAAAAATCTGCTATGTTAAGATAATGTCTGTTTTTTTAGATGTATTCTTCTGTTTCCTGTTATGTGGTACTTAAGCACATAAATATCTTTGCCTTTTCCCTTAATTTGAGTGGAACAAGTAAACCTTAGTCTGTGGTACTTAGTGTAGTTTGGACTTACACATAGGCTGACTACTAAGAAAAAAGATGTTAAGATCTTAACTTCTATAGTATAGCTAGTTATAATCAGCATAGTCTATCATTTGAACAGAACAGTGGGTGTTTTCTGATAAAAGTATTACAGAGGAAGGTCAGGAATATATTTCTAGTGTTTATAAAACGTAATTTTTTAGTTGCCTAAAGAGGAAACAGAAGCCTGGAGAAGCAGATACACAGGTGTAAAACCACTATATTGAATTACTGTACTGTGATTCAAATATTTCTTACCCTATTCATGCAAAAAGTGCAATATCAGCATGTGCAACTGATATTTATACTGAACATCAGTAATGACAATTTCTCTCCACAAGGTTATGGGGTAGATTTTGGGTGATTTAGGGTTTTGACTCTTCTAACCCATATATTCCTAGCAGTCCAGTAGGCTCAACCTCAGTTATGAGGTGTTACTGTCACTAGAAATTTGAGTGAAGTCGCTTGTCACTATTAATTTGCCTGTCTTCTTTTTTTGTTTTGATTGCAGCATTAATTACAACTACTCAGGTCTGCAGTCAAAGGGCCATACTTGCTCAGTCAGGTTAGGTCTAATGTGGGCATACGTTGGTTCTTTGGCATGACATTTGAAAGCCTTGAAAACCTTGCTTCTGTTCTGTTGCTCATAATATAGCTATCATTTTGTGTTGCCTCCTCCTACCTGTGTTTTGTCTTGCAGGGTTAATGGAACTAAAATGCAGTTAAATTTTTTAAGTAATTTCATTAAAAAGGCAGGATAATGAAAATGAAAGAGACAAGTAAGTTAGAAAAGGAATATCTATTTTTAATTTGGAGTTACTTTTAATTACTGAGTTTCAGTTTTGGGTAATTTTGAGGTCTAAGAATTTTAGTTTGCCTCATCTTAACAGTTTACATCTAAATTCCTGTTCCTTAGCATGTTGGTTTTGTTGCGTTGCCAAGTTCATATGGAAATAGCTCGTATTGAAGAAGATGAGGATAGAATAGAGGCTGCTGTGGAGCACCTGCAGAAAGCTGTACGTCTGAACGACAAGGGGCAGTACCAGGAGTGTCTGGGACTGGCTTTGAACCGTCTTGGTTCGTGTGCTCTGCTGTGTAAGTCACCCGAGCGTCCGGAGGATCAGGCAGTAATGATGATTGAACAGGTAATCTTGACAAATAAGGTTAGTAGCTGAGATAGGTTTGCTTGTTAAACTCTGGCAGGGGAAATGCTGGCTGCTTGTAACTGTGTATTAGCAGAGCCAGCTTGCTTTCAGCAAATTGGCATTGTTTAGTTGCCTTGAAAAACTCTTGAATTCTCTCTATGGTGGTCATGCTGCTTCACACTCTGAAGATTGCAGTAGAGGATTTTTTCAAGTTATGTTCAAAGCTGATTTCTTGGAGAGGAGGGGAAGTTACTCAGTAGCGCAAATATTAGCAAAGAAGAAGCCTATTCGTAATTGTCAACAATTAAGATTTCATTGCATGGAACAATGTTTTTATTAATGAGAGAAGCAGTGGCCATGTAGCCAAAGAAGCTCAAGGAATGTCAACTTCATGAGGTTCAAGAAGGCTAAGTGCAGGATCCTGCACCTGGGTTGGGTCAAACCCTGGAATCAATACAGGCTGAAGGATGAAGAGATTGAGAGCTGCCTTGCTGAGGAGGACTTGGGGGTGCTGGTGGATGAAAAGCTGGATGTGGGCTGTCAGTGTGCCACAATGAAGCCACTGGCCCAGCAGTGCAGGCAGCAGGGCAGGGAGGGGATCCTGCCCCTCTGCCTTGCTCTGGGGAGACCCCCCTGCAGTGCTGGGGCAGCTCTGGAGTCCTCAGCACAGCAGAGCCAGGGACCTGCTGGAGCAGGGCCAGAGGAGCCCCAGCAATGCCCCGAGGGGGGAACCCCTCTGCTGGGAGTCCAGCAGAAGAGAGTTGGGCTGGGGCAGCTGCAGAGAAGGCTTCATGGCAGCTTTCTGGTACTTAAAGGGAGCCTGTCAGGAAGAGGGAGACAGTGTTTTTAGCAGGGCCTTTTGCAACAAGACTCAATGGATAATGGTTTTAAATTAAAAGAGGGGAGATCTACACTAGATAGAAGGAAGAAATGTTTACAATGTGGGTTGTGAAACACTGGCCCAGGCTGCCCAGAGAGGTGGTCACTGCCCCATCCCTGGCACCATCCCAGGTAAGGATGGCAGGGGCTCTGAGCACCCTGCTCTAGCTGCAGATGTTCCTGCTCCCTGCAGAGGGGTTGGACTGGATGGCCTTTAAAGGTCCCATTGCACCCAAAGTATTTGGTGATTGTACACATCCTAGCTGGCTTTGAGATAAATCAGTATTATGTCACACCTAAAGTGATACTAGATAACATAATCTAAAGTCACAGTGTAGTCATTGCCAAGAGTTACTGCATCTAATTCTGTTGTGGTATCTCAGCACCTGAACAAAAGTAACTGAATGCTAGTTGGCTAAAAGAAATTTCAGTTGTACAGCATTTTGGGCTATTCACAGAAATTAAGCTCAGTTCACTGAACCTAGAATCAATACTGGAAAGCTGCTGGTGAGTCGATATGTCTATTGTTAAAGGCAAAAGAAGTGAAGATTTTTTTTGTCTAGTTTTAATGATATTCGATTCAAGCCTGCTCTGTTTAAATATTCTTTTAAGAAAGCACTTACGCTGCCTCTGACTTTGGCTAATTCTGAGTGGACTAGAAATATTTTCTATTTTGTAGCAACTCCTAGTTATTGCACTACAGGTATGCTGTTGTTTATTCCTAAATAAATACTGTTCTTTATTTAGGGAAGTATAACATAATGACAGGTTATACACTGAAGAGTATACCATGAACTGTATTTCTATACAGGTATCTTTGACGTATTCATGTCAAGATCAAGCAAAGTTCTACTTCCAACGATCAGTAGTGCTGCAGAAAAGCTGTATAAGATAAATGAAGATACTGTATTTTTTTTGCAGTTCTGTTTCGGAAATAAGATAGATAAATAGAAGTATAATTAAAAAAAATTGTAACATTTAGTTCTTTTCTTTACATAGGCTAAAAGGAGAAAGCAGAAGGATAATGGGAGGACAAAGAGATCCCTTCTGGTAAATGCAGGTCTTGCACTAGCTCCTGATTCATTTCAAATAGTCCTTGACAGTGAAAATGAAGCTAAAGGTAATGTAGGTAGGTGCAGCTAAAAGTTACTATACTAGACTTTGACTGCTTTGCAGAGTCTTAAATGTTGGACATAACATCTAGTGGCAGCATGTAGAGAAGATTGCAGTACAGGTGAAGTGATAGTTGTGCTGAATTCTGTGGTGAAGCTCCTACCGACTTCATTAGGGATCTAAGATTTTATATTGTGATACCGAAGAGGAAATGCTGTTGTTTTTCTCTGAATTCATCTGAATCCTACTGTTGTGCTGTAGTGTGCTGTAAGTTGGTGAGGTGTAGGTTTTTCCCCATTTGTTGGATGGTTTGGGGAAACCTTGAAAGACTGGAAAAAGAGCTGGATTTGAAGTACTTATCAATCAAGTTGCATACCCTTCATGTGGATTTTTTCATCTCATATTTTAAAATAACCCTAAATTCTTTTTTCTTTGCTAAGTTTCCTCAGGTAAAAGTAGGAGTCCGCTAAGCAAGCTCTGCGCAAAAGCACAACATCATATTAAAAGTGTGGAGGAGGTTGATGAACATTGGAAACACTTCAGAGATGAAAATTACAGAGAGAGGTAATTACTGTAGACAAGAAGCTTTTCTTTTGCCTTGTGTAGAAGTTTCTAATGGGAGAGTTTCTTACTGAACTGTGAAGTTACTTCATGATACCTTCTAAGAGGCTGAATACGTCACGCAACCCAGGCAAAGCATTTAAGCAAGTGTTTAACTTTATGTCTGAAGAGTTCCATTGTGGTTGCACGCTGTGTGTGATGGGATCCAGCTCTTTCTGATCTGCTCTCTCCCATGCACACGTGAATTCACCTGCTCTGTTGGTACGAGCCGAACACACAGAAGGAGGAGTGGGCTAAGGCTGAAGACTGCGTAACTTGATGTATAGTTGAAACTTTGCTGAAGTGTCTTTTTAGGTCTGTGTACCACATCACATACTACAACGTTTGGGGTTTTTTTTGATAAATAAGCAAGTAGTCTGTTCTGAGCGTCAGAAAGATTAATCTGTAGGAGAATCACAGGGGTTTTTTTGACTATTTGTATATCATTTTATGATCCTTTATTTAAAAGGAGAAGTTTCCTTTTTTTTGACACTAAAAATTCCTGTGATTAAATTTAAACTAAATTGTTTTCAAGACTTATTTTGAAATTCTCAACATCAGTTCTGAAATATTTAGTTTAGTTTACTTTAAAAGATAGATAATTAGGAGTGTCACACACATTTTGAAATTTCAGTATACTTACTGTCCAAAACAAGAATTTTGTCCCACTCCTGATATGCTGAGAGGATGTTCTGTTTGTTTTTGATGGCCATCATTATCAATGTGATTTTTTTGTTGATCCTAAAGTATGGAGGATAATCCTGCTTATGAAGTAATTTTATGTATGCTTGTTCTTTGGTAGAATTATACTCTGGGCAGATTTGGCAAAAGTTGCACGTAAACAAGAAGTATGGGATGTCTGCCGTGCAGCATGCAGATTTTGCCTCATGTATGATGATACTTTGTTTAGGAAGATAACAAAACTTAAAAAAAGTAAGTGAACAAATTATTTTTAATGTTGTAAGAGGAACTTTTTCCTCATTTTTTAGAGTTACTTGGAGGAGTCAGTCAATATTATTATTATTATAGTAAATATTAATATAATTATCATCATCATTATTACTATTTTCTTCCCTCCAATTCCCAAAGTTCCCTTAGACTCTCATCTGTCACTGAGTGTTGGCATACATGGAATAATTATTCCACTTCTGAATCTAGAAATCAGTCAGTAAATTTTTCTGTTGTAACCATATTCTCCCTTCAGAACTCTCTCACCAGTGCTAAAGAAAAGTACTTATGTGAAATGTATCTTTTTTTGATTATTGGTCTAGTAGTTTGTAATACCTTTAATATTTGAAATCTTGGTACACACTTGGCTGTTGTTTTTTCTCTAGCCAATGTTAGTTGAACCAGTTCCACATTTTTTCTCCAGATTGTTTCCAAGGTTTACTTAAAGTAGGACATTAATTTACCTGTTTTCTTTCACACATTTGGCACCTCCAGCCCAGCCACGTTTCATCTTTCGTCTCTTTTCCAAACTAAAGGGAAAAAGAAATACTCTACCAGAAACTCTGGGCAGCCATGCACCAAAAGCATCATTAATTGGAACTCGCTTGTTTTTTTTTTCTCTTTCATAAGTTTTGTTTCTCAAAAGTAGTGTCTTTGTCATACTCTGAATGTTTACAGGGCTTTATAATGCTATCTGTGCCAGTCTAAACACTTCTGCTATGTAGGCACGTTATCAAGACACTTCCCATCTCAAATGGTTTGTTACAAGGTTGCTGAAGGTCCCTGCTTTCAGAGGCAGAACACTAAAAATCAAACAATAACTGCCACCTTGCCTAAGGTCTCTGTTCTTGAGAACTATAGAGTGACATCCTGGAAACCCACTCCTTGAGTGTTCTATGTTTCTATAAATGCAGAGGAAACAATGCTGCATTTGGTGGGGCAATTGAGGTAATCTATTCTAGAGAGTTTGTAACTGTGGAATACTATTTGTAGTTAAATGTGAATAAACTTTTAGATAGTCAAGGCAGTAAGAGAAATTTATGATTGACTGGAGTTATCTAAGAACTGCTGGCACCATTCATTTTCATGTTCCACTTAATTTTTCTTCAACTACTGCTAATTCTAGGATTAGTGGGTGAGAAGAACGAAAGGTTGTCTTTATATACATCTTTATACTCAGGATAGGGCGAAGATAGTTGTTGTAGTGTGAAGACCCTCTACAGAGGCTTACTGGGTTGTCAGGCCTGAAAAATGGTAAATAATTCAAGACATTCTAGAGTTACAGAAAAAGAACATACCAGTTCCTATTAATGATGCTTTTCGTGTGTCACTGCCATGTGTTTCTGGTAAGTATTTCTTTTTCCCTTTAGTTTGGAAAAGAGATGAAAGGTGAAACATGGTTAGTCTGGAGAAAGTAAATACATATGATTGATCTGAGAACCAGTAGCAATGCTGTGAAATTATCAGACTGTAGGCTTTAAGAAAATAAAAACATTACTTTTTAATAGAAATTAAAAGGTTAGTTTGGAACATTGAAGTTTGGTTTAAAAAATTAGGCAAAGACTAATAAGTTAGATTTATCAGAGTATTGAACTTGATGGGTTGAACAAAACCTTTGGTTCAGGAGATTGCTTGGATGCAAATTCTGAAAAACTATCAGTAAAGACCAGGAAAAAAAAGTATGTTTGGGGAGCCTACTTCTTATGCCTTTCCTCAAACACCTATTATTGGCCAACAATGTAGAGGGAATCTACTCTCATGGCTTTTATGCTCTTACTTTGTGTTTATAGTAAAATCTTGGTCCTTTCTCTTCATTATTAAACTACAGAAAATATTAGTATATTTATCTTTATTGCTGTGTATGTTGCCAGAAAGTCAACCCTATCTATGATTTAAAGACACTGAGATTTTAGCCACTACATAGTGTCCAGCACTCCACTTCCACTGAAGCAATAAAATTGAACCAAAGGCCATGGGTTATATTCCTGTTAATGTACTTTCAGTATGCATGTTATGACTGGAGCAAGTTATTTGCTGCAAATAATGAAGTTATGTACAAATGCAGCAAAATCACAAACAACCTCAGCAGTGCTTGAAAAGAGCAGGTTTTGAGTGCAATAAATTGTACTGTTGAAAAAAAAAAATAGCTGAAAAAATTTTAAAATGAAGGAGATATTTTTCTCATTTGCATGGTAATAATAATAGATTTATTTATTACTTTTAGCACAGAAGAGGAAAGCTAGTACAACTATGGTGGGTGATGATCAAGGTGATGGCTTAAAAGAAGAATCATTAATGCCTGCTAAATCCTTCTCTTTTGAAAGAGATTTACTCAGAATATTAGCAGAAATAAGATTCATCAATGCAGAGGTGAGTAAATTACACAGCTGTCATTTTTTGTTTTACGTCTGGATTTATGTATAAATCATAAAGCACTGGAAATTTTAATTTAATTATTGTCTATATCCACATAAACTAAAGGAAGAAGAAGTTTCATGAAGGTTTTTATCAAAATACTCTGTGAAAGTAACTACAGAAGTAGTTTCACTGCAGGTGGTGATAACACAGTTTTACAAGAGTTTCTGTTGTACATGTTTGACATGTGACATTATGTTTCAGGATCCTTAAAGTTCCAGCATGATTAGAAAACATTTTTTCTTAATTTTTTTTTTAATCAATGAAATTGTTTAGTAAAATTAGCTGTAGGCAATTGGAAGTCTATGAGGTATTTTATGTAGTATTTCATATAGTTGTATGTGCCTGTACAACATTTGAAAAAGCATTTTTAAAAATTTGCTTGTTTTTGTAAAAGGTAACAACACTGATACTAATTTTCCAGGCAGAAAATTTATTTCTCTGTATCTTTTCAGGCAACTGTTCATTTATTAAGATTGCAGGGAATTGAACTGAATGATCATGCTGAACCTCCAGAAGATTCAAGTCCAGGATATGTTTTACATGCTCCTGAAAGTGATCCAGAATGGAAAACATACAGGTGCTTTTCTGTAATATGTAACAAGGCCCAGGAACTGTAACAGATAGCTAGTATCACAGATAGAAGAAATAATTTTTGCAGTTACCATCTTAGTAAAATTCATTGTCACCAGATGCTTCATGTTTGTAGGTAGCCAAGGTAATGGAAAAAGGAAAACATTCAGAAAAAATGTTTGAAGTAATTTTTCTTTGGTTTACTTTCATTCTGAAGTGTGCACTTTATTTTTCTTTTAATGTTTATTTCTCTGAAACTAGAAGCTAGTACCCAGACCTTTAAAAGTCTTAAATCTGTGTTATATTTAGATTTAGGAAATATATGAAATTGGTATTTAAAAAATTATTTTCCCAAATCAAGGAACTCTCTCTTGCTTTATTGCTCCTATAATTATAATGGTGTCAGAGTACTCGAATACATGCAGTGAATTACTTCGGTTTGCAAAACTGGTCTGTTCCATGAGCAGCTGAAATAAACAAGGGAGAGGAAAAAGCAGCAACTATGGTCTTTTTCCTCGTCTCACATGATTATTTCATGCAAAGGAGGAGAGGGGGAAGAATTCTGAAGATTATATTTAAACTCTCCTTTCTTGACATTCATATTAGTATCAGCCCGATTGTGACAGTGGTCGTGTCCTGGGTGAGTGGGATGTCAGAGCTGTGTCCCCAGCTCTGTGCATTAAGTCTGAAAGGAGTGCCTTACTTGTCTCTCTTTTCAAGTAGAGGCCTGTCATGGCTATTTCACGATTTCTAACACTGAATTTGTGGATTCATGCATGCATTTGAAAAAACTGTGGATGAAGCATGAATTATAGCTGCTATTTTTAAAGCTAATAGAATTTTAGTGTCAGGAGCTATTAAATTTTTTTGTTGATACTAATTCTTTTCCTGAGTCATCATCTCATCCAAGTGAAATGTAAGTTAAAGGATGAAGACTTAATAAATGCAATTGAAAAGTATTTAGAAATTTGTTGTTGTTGTTGTTGATTGAGATGTGCTAGTGCATATTGAACCTTACAGTCTAAATCCTTCTACTGTTGAGATTTTGGAATGACAGCTTCTTTAAACTAATCTTGTAGTTCATGGATAGACTGCTTATCTCGGTATGCTATGGAAAACTTCCAACGTGCAGCTGAAATAGGAGAAGAATTGAATGAGGCCTGGATTGTTCACAATGCTGTGGTGTATGTCTTAAACTACAATAGGCATCTTATCTGTTTGGGAAAACAGAGGGAAATTGTTGAGTATCTGCGGAATCTTCTTGGAGCCATCAAGGCTGTTGGGCATAATGGGTAAGTTTAGATACTTGGTTATGAACATGCTCTTTTTTTCAAAAACAGAAAAAATATTTTCACAAACATTGCAAATCACTTTGTGCTGTGAGAAACTCTTATTTCTGGCTTTCATTAATAGTAGAAGGACTTAGGCATATACAGAGTAGTTCGGAAAATAAATTCAATTTTGTAGTGTAAAAATGAGTTTTTAATCCTTTCTATTTGTTCTTTGTTACTATTCACTATAAGCCATTTAGACTAAGCAGTGTTTTTTTTATCTTCATAGCGGATAACAGAATATGCATGTGAAATAGCATTTTGTTAAGTTAGTCAGAAAGAATCAGGAAAATTTTCTTAGCCTGTGCATTTGTAGGACTGATTGAAATGTGTTTGCTTACTGTCAGATGCTTCGAGGTTGAATTATGTGGTAAATATAATTTGTTGTAAAGATTTCTAATTACAGCAAGGTGGTTACTACTGTTTGTGAAATATAAGAGAAAAGCAAAAAAAAAAGGAACATGCACATTAATAGACCATGAAAATGGGAATATAGATTCCGCAGTGGTTTAGAGAAATCCTGTTCTGTAGTAAATGCAACAGGAGGATGATTGTCTGTGACAGAGAACATGCTCAAGTCAAAGTCTGACTGTGGGACAAAATCCTGGAAATTTTAAAACATTATTGACAGTGACCTCAGCAGTAAGCAGACTGTTGGGACCAGCAGCAAAGGTGGCTCTTTTAACAGTATTGGGGAGCAAAGCCTAAGGTGTAGTTTGTGCAGGGATGAAGACCATTAATACCTGTTTATTAATTCTGGTACTTATATTAGCATGTATCAGCAAGAATCTCTTAGGCATAATTCAGTTTGTATTCTTGCTCTCAAAAAAAAGGTAATTCCATGCCAATCAGCTACTGAGCTGAAGAGTAATTCAGTGGAATAAATAAATGGTGAGGGCTTTGGCTTAGCTTATTTCTTTTGGAAATAGTTATTATTTTCATGCAGAGCAGCCCACTAATAAAAAAAATTATCTTTTAAATGTGTTTGACCAACGTAAATATGATTTTTTTTTCTGTGATGAAATAGAAGCTTCAATTACAGAAAGAGCTGAAAAAATATGAACTTGGTTGTTGGTTTTTTTTTTTTTTTTTTAATATTTAAACATTCTAACTACTTTTCCAGTGGGATTTTTAGTATCAATAATTTTGCTTTCTAGGAAAAATCTAGATTTTCAAGTAATGTTTATTACTTAGATGTAATAAACTATTCCCTCCTTATTTTGATCTCATGCAATATGCAATTCTGACTTTTCTGTTCTTCTACAGAAGCACTGTGATTTTATTGATGTTGTGTAATGCTTTGGCTCGGGGCTTAATTCTTTGTTGGATTCCAAAGCCAAAACTTTCTGAAAAGGAAAAAAAAAATGCAGCAACAGATGGAAGTGAAAAAGATGCAGCGAAGAAACATGAAAATACAAATGTCATCCAGTGTTTTTCGGTAGATCCCAGTGGACTTCCTGATATCAAAGATGCCATAGAGGTACAAAGCCCACATTTTTCGCAGTCGGTTTTGAACAACTGTCATATATTGCAATTCAAAAAAACTAAGTTGTAGAATTTTTTGAAAAATATAAGGTACCATCTTTTACATTTCCTACTGCCACAGGTGCTCCCCAAATGCACAGTGAAGTTCCTTACCAACTGGAGCTGAGGGCTGTGACTTGTATTTGCTATATGGGTTGACTTCATGGAGATATTGTTAGGTTAGAGATGCATGTGCAGTAGTTTAAAAATAACTAATGGATGGAATGTTCCATACAAAGAGGTTTTCACATTTATCCTCTTTCTGTCTCTTCTTCTTCTTGGCATTTAGATTTGTGAATTTGCCCTAAATGTGACAACTGGAACCACACCTAATGAAACAATACCTATTGCTACACAACAACAGATCATTGCTACATGGGTGAAGGCAAAACAGTTAAATCAGCAGCAGATCGGACATAAACTGGAGATGGAGGAGGTATTCTCTCAAATCCTGCATAATGTTGAAACCTCTCTTTGAAAAATATGAACAATGTTTACTTGAAAAAAAAAAATCTGTTAACGTAATTTTTAAAATTTTATTTAAATTTTTAAAAATTTCTTCTTAGGCTAATGGTAGAGCACAAAATCCTATGGCAAGAATTCTTGTTGGTCTAGAGATGTATTCCTGTAATGGCTTGGGTCTCATGGATTTCACTGTTCCTGGCTTATCTCAGGTATTTAGCTTTGTTTTATTAGCTCTTGAATTTTAGGAAATTGCATAGTAAAATATGATTTCCATTTCAGTTTTGGATGGAGGCAAAATTAATTTTCAAACATTTATTGTACTATTATTTCCTTTAAAACTGTCCAAGAGGTTGAATAGCTGTGACAGGTAGAAGATGTTTGTGACTGTATATTTTCATATATCCAAAAAAGCAGATAGCATTATAAAACCAATATTAGAATTACTCCCTTTATGCTGTAACAGATTACTTCCTTAACGATCAGGCATACATCGTGGGTTCATATGAATTCTCTACAGAGCTATACTTCTGACCTTTCAGAAGTATGGAGAAAACTTTATAGAATCATAGAACTGTTTGGGTTGGAAAAGGTCTTTAATATCAAGTCCAACTGTTAGCCCAGCACTGCCAGGTCCCCACTGCCCTGTGTCCACCATCTCCACAGCTGGAAACCCCTCCAGGGATGGGGACTCCACCACTGCCCTTAGCAGCTTGTTCCAGGCTTTGACAACCTGTCCAGGGAAGATTTTTCCTAATGTCCAACCTAAACCTTCCCTGGTGCAACTTGAGGCTGTTTCCTCCTGTTCAATCGCTTGTTACCTGGGAAAAGAGACCAACACCCACCTCATCACAACTTCCTTTTAGGTAGTTGTAGAGAGGTATATTTTAGGGTTTGTGTTGGAAATATTAAGAATTTTAAGAGAATGTTGTGCAAGGAATCAATTTTTGGTAGTTGAAAGGTAAAACACAACTACAGTCTGTAACTATTTAAATAATTAGGTGTTTTTTTAATGAGTCCTATACGAGGCATAGCTTTTTAAAGTACTTGCTTTTCTTCCATGATTACTAGCGCTGAATGGTGCCACACTTTTCCTATGATCCTGTTGGTTAGCAGGCTATTCAAGAGGAATAAAGAGGGTGTAGAAAGGCTTATACTCTGTATTTTCAAAGCAGAGAATTGTATTTTATCTGTTTGATTACTATATTTATAACTTCCACCTCCTGTAAAAAACTTACTTTAAGGGCTAAGATGTGTTTCCCTGTTTACTTAGCAATCTGGCAACATTGCCTGATACTTCTGTAGAAGTCATACCTTCTAAAGACTAGGATCTGGGTCCTTATATAGGTATCTAATTGTAGTTGATCTACAGATTTATGTCAAATGGTATAAGTTAACTTTAGCTATTAATCAATCTGGTGGCTTAGTTTCAAGGAGCAGTGTTTTAGTATCCTCATTTTGACCTGTTCATTAACAATTCTGTAAGATGAATGGTTGTTAAAATAAAAACAATTATCTGTAAAAGATGGAACTTCCTGACTAATGCTTGTAAAAGCAAGGAAGACATTTATATCCTGTAATGAAACTATGTGTGAAACACTGTTGTTGTAAAACCAGTTCTATCTCCCATTACATACCTTTGGCTTTGCTAAAATGGGCTCTGAATTTCAGATGTCTTGTTTGACTGATTTTTAGAAGGGTGCTGAGGACATATAATAAATACTGACAGATAGTGCTGGTCAAAAGGCATGCACACTTACAGCTGGATTTGCATACACTGTTATTATACTTACTAGAAGGGAATTGTGCTTCTCTATTGCATATTTTGATTATTCTTTTAACTCTTTGGTTTTCTAGATTGTTTTAGTACATACTTGTTCCATGTTGAGGTGGGTTGTATGAAAGGTACAGCTGTAACCAAGTATGTGCTATAGCAAAGAGCATGATAAAAACCTGAGATTTAAACTTTTTTTCTCCCACCTCCCCAGTTAGTGAAAGCTGCTTTGGAATGCAGTTGGACAGATTCCTTAGTGGAACTGCAGACACTGACACGACTTACATATTTCGCATATGTAGCCCATAACTATGAAATAGTGATGACTTGTGCCAAAAGGATCTTGCAATCAGATGAGAACTTTTTGCACAACAGAGATACTAAGAAATATGAAATGTAAGTACATGGAATTTTATGTGCTGCTGTGGTGTACTTGAAGTAAGTTTTGAAGAAAGAGTATATAGGGTCAATGCATTTGATCACATAAGCAAAAGCATCTGTTTTACAAAGAAACTGCACAGTTAGAAGTGAAAGTGAAGTTCTACTTCTCTTGACTCTGCCATTACCAGTTACCAAGTACTGCAGGTGTTTTAACTCTGCAGCGTAGCCCGAGGAAAAGGCAGCAGGAGATCCTGTGGGTCTGGATCTCATTCATTCAGGAAGATAAGTGAATTTTGTTATCCGAGTGGGTCAACATGTCGATATAACAGATAACATTATAACATATATGTATATACTTGTGTTTGTGTGTGTTCCTGGGGAGTGTTGCTTTTCTGAAATGGTCTCTGACAGTCATGGTCTTTTCACACTTTTATAATTTGCAGATGGAAAGTAACTTATTCCCATTCTTTTGCTGATGCAAATTGCCTGCAGTGCTGAACTGACTGTAGTACAGAAAGGGTCTACACAGTTCAGGGAATAAGATGGAGCTGTATGTGATACTGTATTTCAAGTTCTGGTGTCAGGTGGGCTTTATGGTCTATATTATATGGGTGCGATAGGAATGTATCGCATTTATTTCTTTGAAGACTCAGTGTCTTACTTAACTGATAATTTAAAACTTTGATCTCAAAGAAAAAAAGTATATAAACAGATCTACTGGTAGAGTCCTTTACTACAAAAGGGTGATATCTCTCAGTCCTATTTTTTAATATAATTTCCTCCAAAAACAGAATGTAATTTTGTCAAAAGAGGGGGCAATAATCTCCATTTTGTTACAAGTTGTAGGAATGTAGAAAGTTAGAAAAAATTATGTGAAACATTTTGAATGTAATTTGTTGTTCATTTTTATCTCTGAAAATTTCTTTTTAAAAGTGTTCTACACTTTGAAATTCATGTTTGTTAGCTACATGGGGGAGAAAGTGTAAAACCAAATAGGATATCTTAATACAAAATACCTAGTTTCAGAACATCACAGAAATAAAGAAAATACTTGCTGCGTATTTAGCAATCTGCAACCTAGTGAATAATAAAATGTTTGATTCTTTGACAAAGAAATGTAGTCATGGATCGTCAGTGGTGTTTCTAGAGAACTGGAAGATAGACTCCTTGTGGTGAAGCACAACTTCAGGGCAAAGAAGGGTTAAATATTTAAGTTGTGCTGTAGAACACTGGTGTCCTCTTGTGGACGCAAATCATAACTGCATGGTAGTTCTCACCACAGGGTAGGATCTAGGCCAACTAGAACATCTACATTTCTGTGTATGTTTGCACAATGCAACTAAGATATTAAAAAAAAAATCTTGAAAGTTGTGTTACTATTTTTCTCACAAAATCACTATTAATCAAATATAGAAAATTTGTGTACTTATTTATTTTTAACTGAATAACTGCTGGGATTGAAATCTACATTATTCTATTTTAAATGTAGTGGAATATGAACCAAATTAGTTACTCCAGAGATCCTGTGCACTCTTTACCAGACATAAGCAAGACCAATTCCAAAAGAAAGTAACAAAAATTGTCTCATTTTCCCTATTTCAGTTTTTAATTGCTTGCCATGTAAGTTTGACATGGGACTAATATTTTATTTGCTGTACAACAGTGAACAATGGGGAGAAAACCCCAATTAAATTTTCTTTTGCTAAATGTAGATAATAATTTTAAAAAATTTGATTTCACAGTTATTTTCATTAGAGGTGAGATATTGTATTTCTGATATCTTTTCACACAATGTTCAGTTTTTCAAATATTTTCTGATTTCAAAAGCAAAGTCAGTAGAAGCATTTGTAGCTTCCAAAGCTAGGGACATCTATTTAATAACAACTCGAACACATCATTACTAGGAACTGGTATGTTCCGGGACTGTAAGACTAGCAGTTCTTGAATTATTTGCTTTTATTTAGGCCTGAAAACACAGTGAGACAAGAAATGTTAAGTGTTGCTGCCAGTATACAAGGGAAGACTATAATGGAAAATTTGTCTGGAAGAAAACGTTTGCGCATAGCAGCATCAAAAGCCTTTTTTCAGAGTGCCAGGTATGTTTTATCTTGAGAGAGGGCTAGCACAAAACAGTCCTAAAATTTGATTAACAGATTTGGGAATCAACATATTCTCTTCCAAGACTGCTAAAATAGTTGGAGTTGAAAAGCCTAACAAAAGATTTGATAGATTTTTACAGCTTAGTGAATTTATCAAATACCTTCCATGTAGCTTGCACATGTAATGTCATAGGATCATAGGAAAATCTGATTGGAAGGGACCTCTGAAGGGCTCTTGTACAGACTCCTGCTTAAATGAGGGCCAGCCCAGGGCTTTATACACTCTGGTCTTGAAAACCTCCAGGAGACCGCACCACCTCTGTGAGTAACTTGCTCCACTGCTTGGATGTATTCATGGGACAAAAGGTTTTGCTTGTATCCACTTTGAAACTTTCTTATTTCAGCTTAAGCCTGTTCTTGCTTGTCCTCCCATCCACTACAAGGAGCCTGGTTGCTGCTTCTCAATAACTTTGTTAGGTTATTAAGAAACATCTAGTTAGGTTCTCCAAAGCCAACGCTTCTCTGCGCTGAGATGGCCCTGTACTCTCAGCCTCTCTTCTCAAAGCAAGTGCTCTAGTCCCTGGATCATCTTAGTAGCCCTCCACTGAGCTCACTGCAGTTTTTCCATGTCTGGCTTGTGTTAGGTGGCCTAGAACTGGATGCAGTAGCCTAGATGTGCTCTTTAAGAGTGCAGACTAGAAAAGGGTGATAAGCTGTTCCCTTAGCCTGTTGTCTGTTCCTGCTATTACAGCCCAGGATGCAGCTACTGCCAGAGCACACTGAGAGACACCAAGAGCCACGTGTCCTTTTCAGCAGAGCTCCTCCTCAGGCTCTACTGCTGCAGAGCGTTATATTATTGTTGTGAACTGTATGTCATGAGCCCAAAAAGGAAAGTTTCCATTAAATAATAAATAGGCAGGAGAAGGTGATAGATGGGTGATGTATGACTTTCTTAGGAATTCTTTGCTATTTGGAAGAAATAAATTAACGAGCAAAGGCAGATAATTAGAACTCTTAGCGGATGAACAAATGATGGCTGCTCTGAGGCTGCTAACATTGTAACACTTTCTTCCTTCCATTGGCGATTAAAAAGAGGCTGAGGTTAGACTAGCTAGTGTAACAGAACTCTTAAGGTGATGTTCACGTTGTGGATGAATCCGTATTTTTTGAGATTTGCATGTTATGACAAGTGCTTTCTTCAAAAGGCCTGAGCTTATATATATAGCTCAACACATTCCAAAGGGGAGACAAAACGTGATGAGCAAAAACAGGGCATGAATAAATCTAGTGTTAAGATGTAAGGTTTGTCTGCATATGGACTCTAAATGTTGTGAAGCTGTGGGGGAAAATGACAGAGATGGACAGATTCAAAAACTACTTTTTTGAAAATTGTAAAACTATGCAATGGGTGATCATTTAATACCAATCAATTTTTAGCTAAATTCTGTAGCTTTTGCTCACTCATTCTAAATTTTATTAATTCAAAGTAACATTTGCATGGAATATGCTCAAAACAATTTGAATGCAGCTACAGGCATTTGGGGTATATTCTTATGTTACAATGGTACTGTAGTATGGAAATTCTGTAGCATTTTACTAATTGGTTTGTTTTATTTTTTTTAATATTTTAAAAAAACATTAAAAGAAAATGTTCTTTTAAATGAGAAATTAACACTAGGAAGCCTAAAAAATAGATTATTCTAATGAGTACATCTTGAGTAGATTTCTGTTTTTTAAATGAAGGCTCTTGAGCTATGAGAATACACAGAAATACAGTAAAACTGTCAATATGGTACTTGTTTATTGCTACTTCTACTGACTGTCTAAAGGTGTTTTGTATATAAAAATGGAAAATATATTTTGTATGAAGCTCATATGCAAACCCGTGATTTCTGAGATTATATATGGTGGTGCCTAGATCGGGGAAACCTGGATGTTTGCAGAAGCAAAATCCTTTATTTTGGCTAGGGTGTGATTGTTTTCCTCGCTAAGCTGTACTTCACTTTCTCCAGGTATGCAGGTGAAGCAGGGAATTACTCCCTTGTAATGTTTGCAGCTAGACACTTTTGGAATACATGTTTACCTTTGCTTGATTCTCCACGTGACAGAGAGCAGTTTAAAGAACCTACTGAAATAATTCTTAAGAATATAATTGAAGCAGAATCTAAAAATAAAGGGGTAAGAATAGTGAATAGATTTTGTTAACCGTGCACATGTTTAGTGATTGGTACTGATTTTGGTTTGCTCTGAAGTTCTGGGATGCATACTTCAAGACACCTTTCCTAGGAGGGGAAGGTGACCTATTTTTCATAGCCACATACGTGGTTTCTTGCCTGCCTTCATATAACATACATTCATACATTCTCTTTTTGTCACATACTATTATTTTCCTGTTCAGTGGTTCTTCTGGTTTTAGGCAATTGTCAAACTTGCATCAGTTTGATTCAAAATACTTTGCTGTCGGAAGGGCTGTAGTGCCTCAGTTTACAAAACTTACAAAAGGGCATGTTTAGATAATACTTGAAAGAAAATCCAGAATAAAATCTGTCACTTCTGGAAAGGATGGTAATAGATCTTAAAACACAAACTTGGGCAAAAAATGTAACTGAATTACAGCTGCAGAATCAAATTTCCACTTGCAAAAAGGAATTTTTACTTTGCCTGTCTTCAGTTTTTTAACAGACTGTTTAGCAATTTGGCAGTAGAAACAAGTATAATTGAAACCATGCTGGGAGTTAGTGATAAAATTAAACACTTGTTTATGAACAGCACGTGTAAACTGAAGAAGTCACCACTTTGGAAGAATATGTAGGTGATGAATATTGAATATTACCGAATTTGGTCATTGCCATATCATTTTTTTTATTCTAGAACTCAATCTAGAGAAATGGCTGTGGTTTTCATCCCCTGCATGAATAGCTATTGAAGTAAGAGATTAATAGCTCATATTAGCCATATTAATGGGTTTACAAATTAAACAGTACAGTAGTACTAAAAGACCTATGTTGACTGAAAGATAAAGGGATTTTGTTTTGTTTTGTTTTGTTTTGTTTTTTTGGGTCTTCGTAGGAGAAGGAAGATACATTGGCTTTGCATCAGTGGATTACAAAGGATTTTCAAAGTGTTGAATTATCAGTTGGATGCTTTCTCCCAGGCATGTTCTTCCTTCTTTTGATCTGATAATAAAAAAACCCCAAACATATTTTGTAATACAATTATTCTAATTCTGCAGTATATTAATAAATCATTTTAACATATTTGAAAGGTGCTGAGGAAGACCTAACATTAAGAACCTCCTTATATGGGTTGTTATTCCACATATATGCTGATAAAGCTGACTGGGAGACAGCACTAAAAGTCCTGGATGAAGCTATTCGAGTTTTGCCTGAGACAAGACACAGGCTGTAAGTTGGTTGACCTACTTTTATTAAAATAAGCATCCTGATTCATGGCAAGTACTAAACTGTGAGTATTTTTTGTATTTTGCATTGGGAAAAGTTGTGATTACTTTTGGTCAGCCTGTTGGTTCTTATAGCAGAAATCACTATTCTGGCTTTGCAATGAAAAAGGCATGCATTGGCAGTGCTTCCTATCATTAATCTGTTCATAATGTTTGTACATCTCATGTTTAGAAAAATTGTATGTAATTAGTAACTTTTCCAAGAATATAAGCACATGAAATTTAGCTACATGACAGAGACTTTAATTTTCCTAGCTGTAAACTCATTTATGTTAAATGGAAACTAAATTATCTCATACTGATAAATTATATGATACTGATACATAGTCTTATCTGATATCAAATATTTATGCTCCTTTATTCAATTTATAAACTTTACATCTCTGTACTATACTGATACAAATTAGCATATCTATCCCACTTGTGAAGTTATTATACAAGTACAGATGCAAGTAATATGCAATTTGTTTGGTCTGTTTCTAGCCTGTTTTTTAAACACATGGCTACAGTGAAGGCAAGATTGGGATACAATTTTATGATGGACGTTCAGAAATGGAGAGATGAAAGTGAAGATTGTTTGTCACATATGTGGCATCATTTGGTAACAGCCTCCAAAAGTATTGTTGGACAGTTAAGCTGTTTTCAAAATGCAATCAATTTAAAGGTTTGTCAGTTCTTCTGATGTCTTCAAACACTGATAGAATGAAGTTTCTGAAGTGATACATAGAATTGTTTTGGTTGGAAAAGACCCTTAGGATCATGGAGTCCAGCCATTCACCATGGGATTGCAAGTTCTGTGAGGTATAGAACTGAACGGATAGGAAGGCCATATACTTGACCTTCACTTTTTGTCACTTGGAAATTGATCGTCAGTTGGAAAACTGTGTGTGGTTGGATCTTAGTATACAGTAAAAGTTCAGTTGAGAACGGCCAAAGAAAAATGTCTAAGAGTAGCTAATAGTAAGAAGTTTTGATGAAACAAAGAATTAACTGCTAGTTTTCTGTTACATTCCGTTCAGCGTAACTCCAGATATGTGATGCTGATAAAACTGCCCACTGTCAAGTGACTAATTTTTGCTTCTGTTAAGACTGTATTGAATTTTTAATATCATTTTATTGATTTACATAATCAAATATAAACAAACTCTTCCTCTATCACGCTTACAGGAAGAAGAAAATGAATGGCAGAAAGTTGATTATCTGATGGAATTTGCTCAATGGCTATACTGTAACCAGTTTTCTCTCAATGATGTTATTAAACCTCTGGACTGGGTGATAGATCTCTTGCTACATATGAAATTTTCTATGCAGTCCTTGCAAGAAGAAGGTATGTAAAAGTAGTATATCCTTCAGAGGAATTTCTCAGCAGCAAATGCAAGGGACATTTTTAATTTACAACTTAATTAGCACAAAGAATGGCACCAGCTTGGCTGTATTTTCTCCAGTATTCACTGTCTTTTATTCAACGCAAGCTTAAATATATCTCTGAATTCTGTGTTGTGCCATGGAAACCTACCATCCATCTTTTTGTATAGTAACACACAGCTCCTAGCTTATGTAGGGATTCCTGAGTTGTGAGAAGCTGCCAGAAGGCAGTGCTAGGCAGACTGTCTCAAATATATCCTCATGGAAGGGCAGTTATAGCTGCAGAAAATGGTTTCTGTCCATTGCTCATTCCATGACTTTATCTAGTATTTTAGGATTGATTTTTCAAAAAAAGACTTTCAAAAGGATATACACTTTCCAGTACTCAGGTTAACTATGTAAACATTCTTTGATCCTTTTACTTAGAGCTCACTTGCAGTGGTATGGACTGAGTGACCTATTCTGATAGGATGCTCCATTATTTAATTGGAAAAAAAAGGTTCTAATTTCTGGAACAATACTGTACTGTGTGGCTTTAATCAACCTATGCTCTGCTCTTAGTTTTGTGTGGGTAGATGAGATCAGACAAGCCCTTCTGGTGTTTGCATTGAAAAAGATAAATATTCAGTGTCTCTAGTATCACACATTTGATTAAAGTCACAGCAGCAGTATTTTGTACTTTTCTGTTAGTGATTTTGTTCAGGTTTTTACAGCCCTATGGCAATTTGAAGTTTGTACTTGTTCTTTAATGATCCTCCCACCTAGTTTCACGTGGTTGTTTATGATTACTGGACTTGTTACACTGCCTGTGTTTCAAGAAATTTTTTACAAAACTTTTAATGAAGACTGAAATAATATAAGAAAAAATAGTTTAAAATATCAAACAGGGAAGGGCCCTCAGAAAATCATCTGGTCCAAACTTTGGTGGAAAATGGAGCCTAAGTGAGATCATCTAGCACCCTGTCCTCCTGTGTCTTGAAAAACTCAAGTAGAATCTACCATGTCCCTTAGGACATTGTTCCACTGATATATTGTTCTCACTGTAAAAAAAAAAAAAAAAAAAAAAAATTTTTTTTGGAGATTGTTCCCCGGATTTATTTTTTTCCAGGTAAAAAAAAAAAAAAAAAAAAAAAAATTTCTCTCTTATATAGCTGAAACCTCTCCCAGTCCAACTTGTACCCATTGCCCCTTCTTCCCTCCTTGTGGCTGCTCGTGAAGAGAGAGAGCCTCTGTGCTCTTGGTAGCTGCCCTTTCAGATACTGGAAAACTATGATGTGGTCCCCCTGAGCCTTCTTCATGGTGAAAGACCTTAACTCCTAAGGACTTTCTTCATAGGGCAGGTTCTCCAGCCCTTTGATCACCTTCATGGCCTTCCTTTGAACCCTCTCCGGTCTGTCGCCATCTGTTTTGACCTGCGCAGACCAGAACTAGACACAGTACTCCAGCCTGCTGTGGCCTGGCAGGCCCCCAGTGCAGTGAGTGGATGATCACATCCCTGCTTCTGCTAGTGCCACCCTGCTGCTGCAGCCCACGGTCACTTGTCCCCTGCTGTAGCAGCACGCTGCTGACTCGTGTTTAGCTTGTTGTCCGCCTAGACCAGGTCCTTTTCAGTAAGGCTGTTCCCTAGCCACACAGATCCTAGTCTGTACTGGGCTTTTTGCTTATATTGTCCCAGGTGCAAGACCTTGCTCTTGGCTTTGTAAACTTCATACAGTTCTTTCTAGCACACTTTTCCAGCCTGTCCTGGTCTCTCTCTAAGAAAACTCTACTTTCTGATGTGTCTGCCTCACCACCCGGTTTGGTATCATCTGCAGATTTGGTGAGGGTGCTTTCAATCTCATCACCCAGATCATTTATGAAGATGTTGAACAGCGTGGGTACCAGACCTTGGGCACCGTAATCCCCAGCTTGTTACAGGCTGGCAGCCTGAGCAAAACCCATCGATTGCCGCCACCAGTTTAGTCTTTGGTCACTGTAGAAACCACTACCTCAGGATAAAGAGGAGTTTTTAATTGGATGGCAGTGGCTGAAATAAACAAGTTAGATTGTCTTTTCCCACAGATTTGTTTTCAAGAAGACAGTTAATGTGTGCAAATAAATATTTTCAGTTCAGAAATTTAAACTTTTGAATACATCTTTAAAATACTGTCACTGTGAGAATGTTATTTGTTTTTTACAGAAAAAAATACTGTACCAAAATTTTCATCTAGAGAAATTTTGAAGATAGACATTGGAACAAATGATATCATGCCCCAGATTAATTTGGAAGATTTGAACAATATTAAACAGTTGGAAGCTTTGTTTAGAGCACAGACGTTGATGGCTTTAATCTCTGGTTTTGGTTCTCCTTTTCATCAGCAGCACTGTTTGATGGCATATGCTTGTATCATCCGTATCTGGCAGGTGAGATTGTATGAGCTTATATTGTATTATGCTATACATTATATTATAATGTGGCCAGTATGTTTCAAGTTATCTTGTATAATTATGGTGCCAGCTATTAATTTGATGGTTTAACTATTTCTTCAGTATTTCCAGTTTTATGGCATAGTTAGTAGATTTTCTCAGGCTTAAGAATCAATCAAGAAAATAGTTTCTCTCAAGAAAACAGAGAAGAGAGATTAAAGATAAAAGCAGTCACCCGTTGATTCCTTGAAGTGCATTTATATGTTTCAAGCAAAAGGATCTAAAATTGTGTATTTTTCATTTGTTAAAGGATCTTAGTAGTTGCAGAATACATGCTGAAGAGATTGCTGGCAGTTCTGAGGAGTGGTAATTACAGGTGGACCTTTACTTAGGTTTAATCAAAGGGGCTGTTATTTGACTGAATGGAATTCTGTGAGATAAATTTAATTCAGATGTTGATTAATTTGTTACATTTTGAGAAAAAGTATAGACAAGCAGTGTTCACCAATTATTACTATCTAAGTGCTTTTTCATTGTTACGGCATTTCAAATCAAACAAATCCTTTATTTCTCATTGATATGAATGCCTAATTTAAATCAAGAGTTAATGCAGCTGTCAGTGCCAGTTGTAGGACAATGATAGTAAATCTAAGAACTCATATCTACAACTGAACAGTCCTGTGAGAAAGAATAACCACGTGGCATTAAAGGAATGAAAGTACTACAGGGTAGCTTAGCTCTCTTTTGGAGAACAAAGTAAAGTAGACTTGACTGCAAATGTCCATAGCTAAAGCAGGGTCTCAAGTGGTAGGACTTGATAAATAACTCAGTAGAAGATATTAAAATGTTCTCTGAAAACCTGAACAATCAAAGTCAAATCAGCTGCCTCTGACTTTAAAAGACATGTGTTATCTTTAAGTTGAACTTTTCATAAGTTTTACAGCATCCAGGATTATTTTTTATTCATATTTTGTATTCTGCCCTTGATCCCTCCAGCACAATACATTAATTTTCTTAAATTGTTGAGGGTTTTTTATTTTAGGTAAGATCAGAAGCTGTGTTATTTTCAGTGGGTGCTTTCATATGCTGAAATATTTAGAAATTTCTTATATATAACATTCATTAGTAGCATTATGGAAGACTAGTCCAGAAGGAGAACTGAGTGACTCTTTGCAGTCTTCTAGGTTACTTTGGTGTGAAATTCATCCCTTGCAGAATCATAGAACAGTTTGGATTGGAATGGACCTTACAGATCATTTAGTTCTCACATAGGCAGGTGTTTTGCCCATGACCAGGCCCAACAAGAATGATGCGACCACCAGGAAGAGAAACCAATGCACAGACTGTATTGCCAGCAAAAAGGACATTCCATGAATGATCACTGGGGGTACAAACAAGTCAATCAGCTGGTACATAACTGACACCACCCCCAGCGATCCCACCAAAGACACGACTGCCCACAACAGGTGGTATGAACAGAGAACCAAGGCTTCCCATAGTTGGCAAGAGAAACAGCCATATTGCCAAGATTAAACATATAAGAGAAAGGTGCCCACGTGGCAACACTCACCCGATCAGCCCACGTTCACAAAGGTCCAAGCAGACCCAGGCACAGCTCCAGGAGAGTCAGGAGGTCTCTCCTGAACCAGGCAGCTCTGTGGACTGCACTCCACAGACAGACACTCCTCCCTTCCTGCCAGGGGTCCCAGCTTTTATCCCCCAGCACACACCTGACCTTTGGTCACTCAATGCAGGACACCTGGGGCTCATTCACCTTCTGGCTCTCCCTGCAGGGCCAGCCCCACCCTGGGGGGAGCTGCAAAGCAAACTCTTTATGAAGGGCCCACATGTCAACCTTAATTTGGGGCTCAGGGTTCAGACCCCAGCATTTCACTAGGGACGTGTCCCAGTAGACCAGGTTGTACAAGGCCCCATCCAGACTAGTCTCAAACACCTCCAGTGATGGAGCATCCACAGCTTCCATGGGCAGACTGTTCCAGTGTCTCACGATCCTTACGGTGAACTTCTTCCTTGCATCTAATCTAAATCTCCCCTCCTGCAGTTTGAACCCACTACCTTTTGTCTTGTTACTACAAAAAGTCATTTTTGTAAAAAGTCATTCCCTAGTTTTCTTGTGGGCTTCCATCAGATATTGGAAGGCCGTGAGAGGCTCTCTCCAGAGCCTTCTCTTCAGGCTGAACAGCCCCAGCCCTCCCAGCCTGTCCTTGGAGGAGAGGTATTCCAGCCCTCTGATCATCTTTATGGCCTTCCTCTGGCCCTGATCCAACAAGTCCATGTCCTACTCCCATTGGGGGCTCCAGAGCTGGATACATTACTCCAGGAGGGGTCTCACCAGAGCAGAGGGGGAGAATCCCCTCCCTCAACCTGCTGGCCGTGCTTCTTTTCATAGGATCACTTTGGTTGGAAAAGACCTTAAGGTCATCAAGCCTAACCATTAATTCTACTCTACCATACTCTGCCAAATCCTCCTGTAAGCCATATCCCCAAGTATCACATCTACACAGCTATAAACACCTCCAGGGATGATGACTCAGCCACCTCCCTGGGCAGCCAGGGTGTGGTTGGGGCCTTCTGGGCTGCACTCTCACATTGTTGGCTCATGTTGAGCTTTTCATCAACCGGCACCACCAAGCCTTTCCCCACAAGGCTGCTCTCAACCCACATTCTGCCCAGCCTGTAGTTATGCTTGGGATTGCTGTGACCCAGGTGCAGTTTGCCTTGTTGAACTTCATGAGGTTGGCCTGGGCCCACCTCTCAAGCCTGTCAAGGTCTGGATGGCATCCCTTCTCTCTAGTGTGTTGAGTGTACCACACAGCTTGGTGTAGTCTGCAAACTTGCTGAGGGTGCACTCAAGTCCACTCTCTATGTCACTGACAAAAGTGTTTAACAGATCCTAGTCCCTGTCCCAGTCCCTGAGGAACACCAGTCGTCACTGGTCTCCACTTGAACATCATGCCATTGACCACAGTTGTCCGAGTGCGGGCATCCAGCGAATTCCTTATCCACTGAGTGGTCCGTCCATCAAATCCATGTCTCACCAGTTCAGAGAGCAGGATGGTGTGTGGGACATCCACAGAAGAGTGAGCAATCTAGACTAGCCAAAAAAAAAAGCGTTTGTAACTGTATAGGTTAAAAAGGCAGCAGTAGAATTTGTCACAGGGGTGGTGTCACCTTTCAACTGTTCAGCTGCTAGATTGCCTTATCATGATCATTCTAAATGCTTCCACAAATAATGTGGGCATCTAGGATTCTTGGAAATTTTAGTTTTCCAAAGAAATCTCTTATACAAACTTAACATGCTATCTGACAGTTGTTAATAGCTCTAGATAGTGACTTACAGTGAATAATCTTTATTACTAGAAATTGAAATCATTATTGAAAATTGAAGATAATTAACTGTAATTATTTATCTAGATATCATTGTCAGCATCAGGACCTCTTACAAAAGTATTATCCAAGTCTTCACAAGTTACAGCTACTCAGAAGGTACAGTCAATGAATGCTTCTAAAAAAGAGAAGGCCAAAAAGAAAGATAAACAAGTAAGAATCTCTCTCCTGTGGAAATAAAGCAATCATCAGCAGTCTTTTTCTAAGATGTGTTTCCCTGGGGTCATTTGTTAAGTTTTTCAGAAGCTTTCCTGTAAAGACTTTCATAACATATGGAGAATTTCTTTGTGAGTCTGTATGTTATACCTTCTAGATCACATGGATTTGAGAGTGCATAAATTTTTTACAGATACTTTTTTGTTACTGCATTTGTCGAAATACTGTTTTGTAAAACCTACTCTCCAGAGGTAAAAAAAAAATACAAAATTTAAAAGGTTATTAAGCAGGTACATTTTTTTTTAATATTAGCTGATATTTAATACTAACATGATTATTAATTTGGCCTCATAAATGTTCCTATTTTTTTATTACAGGTTGAAATTCCTGTTGAGAAAGAGAAGCCTAGCAGGAGAGGATCAGTTGATACTTTGCCAGCAAAAGCAGAAGAATGGGCTCATTATCACTGTCCTAATGAAATCAGAGATACTTTTAAACAGAAAACAAATATTTATGGTATTAACTGGGATAATTTCCCAAAACCTGTAAGTATAGAGCATATATTCTCTATGCTCCCAAAATTCTAGAGCGTTAGTTATTCAGGAAGAAAATGAGTTGCAGGCAACTATGCTGCATTTTAGTTTTTTTGTCTGTGCAATAATGAGTATGTTCAGACAGCTGTCAGAAATACTGCATGTCATATTATTCTTTATTATTTGAAAAAGTGTTAGTTTGTCCTCTGTGTCTGAAATGAACTTAATTTACAGAATAAATGTACTGGCTTTCTCTGTACCTAACTGCTTTTTCAGCTTGAAAGTTTGCTTCAATTTTTCTTTTTTAGTAAAATTTGTAACTGAAGATGAAATAATTAAAGATCTGTTCTCTACAAAACTATTTTTGTACTGATCGAATTTTTTAAAATTTCTTTTCAGACATGCACTTTGTATTTTATGGACCTTTTATCTAAAGAACTACAGAAAATTTTTTGCCCCCACTTGATCCTTCCTGTCTTTCAGCTAGCTGAAGTTATTGCTAATGACGTGGTGGGATGTAGAAGTCTGTCTGATCTTTATCACCTTCGGTGAGTGTCCTTTATTCATTTTACATAGAAGAGACACTGAACGGAGTGCACAATCCATTAATATTTCACTAAATAGTAACAAGGCTTTTTGTGGGTTACTGTTTTATATTTGTAGTATTTTAAAATTTATTTTCATTGCTATTTTATATATTTTAATAGGATTTTGATGAATTGGTTTGCTGGTGTAATTAAAACTGCTAAGTTTATCTATTACCAAGCATGATCTCCATGGGAAGAATATCACAGAATCACAGAATCATTTAGGTTGGAAGGGACCTCCAAGATCATCAAGTCCAACCACCGAGCCACCAGGGCTCCAAAGTCTTCTGCCAAAATAGATCAGAATCTTTCAGAGTTGGAAGGGACCACAAGGATCACCCAGTTCCAACCCCTCTGCCATAAGCAGGGACACCTCCCACTAGATTATGATTATATACAAGATTATGAAATCTAGCCGTTTTCATGTGAATAATTTTTGAAATGCCTTACTGTCACCTGAAAAAAACAAAGTCCCCAAAACTTTCAGTAAAAGTATTACCCTTTAATATTCAACAGGTAGACTCCCATCTTGCATCAAAAATATATCATCTTTAGCTTAAGAACCCAAATAAGTATCCCAAATAAGTTCAGTCTCTTTTAGAGATATTTGAGTTTGTGACCAGAATTCTGTTATTTCCATGAAGGATTAGCCCTAAAGTTTTGGTTCAAAAATATTTAATGTGTATTCAATAGCAAATTTTTGCTGATTTTGCTAAGACATTTCATCATGCTTTTTTGAAATGCATTAAATAATGTTTGCTTAATAATTAACAGCTATAAACAATAATTGTTTGCTTAATTTCTGATAAATTTGTGAAATGCCACATAATATATTTTTTAAATGCCTGAAACTGATCCCACATGCCAGAACAAATATTCAGGCATAGAAATGTATGTTTTTATCTGGATTGCCAACTGAGTGCTGTCACAAGACTAAAACTGATTTACTAATAGGAGGTGGATTTACAGCAAAACTTTGCCAGACAAGCTTTTTAATGGACTTCTAAAAATTTTTTTCCTGTTATTTTATTTACATCTATGACCTGATTTTTATATATGATCAGATAGGTGTACCTGAATATATTGCTCTTTACTCAGTACAGAAATACACATATATGGGGGGTTACATGTATATAAAAAAATTTTGTAATTACCAATATTACTCAAGCACAAGAAGACAGGATTGACAAATGTGGAATGTGTGCTCTTTATATGTAATGTATTTATATGAAGTAATATATAAAGTTTTATGATTGTTTCTTAAACATTTCTTCATTTATTCTTAGACTTGCCCTGATATGCTCAGACCTAAAGCTGAGTCAGGCATCTTTGTATCATGAGAAGGCTGCTGGAGAAGCATACATTAGTGAATTAGAACAAGCAATGTATGTATTTTCACTACAGATGATGTATTTAGCTGGGAATTTTTCCCTAAAGTTGATCAGTCTTGTTGAGGGGAAAACAAATTATTAAAAGCCATGGTCTTTTAAAACAAATTTAGTGTATTAGCTATGCCCTAAAATTCTGTGCATAATTGGGTTTTTTTATCTGTTCACAGAGTATGTGATGAAAATGTCTAACACAGTAATGCTTCATTATGAAATACTTTTAAAATATACTTGAATTTGCTTTTTCTTTCTTGTGATTCAGGTGTAGGCAAGAGATTGCCCTGGAAAAAGAAAAAAAAGTACATGCTAAGACAGAAAAAAGAAAAACAAGTTTTGAAAATGCTCAGATGAATGGTAGTAGAGATGAGAATATCTTTACTTCAAGTGAAAAGGTTTTTATTCTACTCTAGTTTCTTTAATAAGTTAGTCTTTACTTTTTTTTGTAATATGTTTGTTAGTTTGTTTTTAAATATTTTTATTATTGATAAACACCTAAGAAATAATAAAAATTATTAAAAATGTGTACTACTCAAATTCTACTGGCAAGCATCAGCTGAATGTGAGCTGGGCTTGCCTGGCGTGTTGTGGAACAGTAAGGTGAGAACCTGTGTTCATAGGAAGAACAGCTGCTTTCCTACAGGTGGATCTGGGGACTAGTGCCAGCGGCGGGAAGGCCAAGAAGTGAGAGACATTGTATGTGCTCTTGATCTTGGTTTTTTCTTCTTCCTCTCTCCATTATGTCATTGCATAGTGCTTTGCTCCCTACTAGATATTGTTTTAAAGGCATGCAAATAGTTCAACCATGTATTTTCTGTCTCTTTTTTAGGAAGATAATTGCCATACTGATATTCTTAATGCTTACCTCCACTTTCCTCTCTTTTATGGTGATTCTGTCCTTGTTTTCATCATATCCTTTTGCTACCTTTGCATATTTTTCCATTCTTGTGTATTTAGAATATTTTTTCTAGTTACTAATCCCTGGAGTCACCTCTTCTAGCTTTTCTCTTTGATTGTTTTAGTTCTTACCAAGAATTAACTGCTTCACAACAGCAGCAGATCTGAATTAATCTGTTCTAATGTTAGTTTTAATAGTATATACTTATTAGTTAGTACATTTTGAGGATTATAAGAACAAAATCTCACCATAAGCCTGTTTTTCCTGTAATTATAGTGTTGAATTTCAAAGTTATAAAATAGAGCTGGAATATATATATATCAAGGGTTGAATATGATAGTTAATAACAATTTGTATTGCATGTAGTTTAGTTTTGAAATTTATGAATGTGTAATATTTTGTTACTTTTCAGTTTCTTGAGTTAAATGTGGTAACAGGAAAAGGACTGAGTGCACTCTCCTTCCCTTACTTGTGGGTAGAAAAAGCTGAAGTACTAATTCAGTTAGGTTTGTATCAACCGGCGAGACTTCTCCTTTCAGAGGCCCATGTTGCTACTCAGGTAAAAAAAAGAAACATTAACAAAACACAAAGGAAACATAAGGTGTTCATTGTGATGCAATAGTTCCTCATCATAACTACTGAATTGCAAAACCAAGCCTTTCCCTTGCCCCAAACCAATGTAATTTGATTTTCAACATATATAAGACATACATTTAAATATATGGCACAACAGTCCAATTTCTTGAGAACTGCCTGAGGATTATTTCAATTTGTGAAGTAGTATTAGCACCTCTGCTTTGCAGTGACCTTGGAAGTTGTATGTATTGTTCTGCCAATGACTAGGCCTAACAGGAACAACACAGCCAGCAGGAAGATGAACCAATAGGTGGAATGCATTGAATACAAAAAGGACATGCCATGAATGATTGCTGGGGGTATGAACAAGTCAATTAGTTCACATTACCCCCAGTGATCCCAAAAAAGACATCACCTGACCAACAATAGGTGGTACAAGCAAAGAACCAAGGTTTCCCAAGAATGGAATAGGAAACAGCCAGATCAGGAAGTTGAACAGATAAGAAAAAGGTGCCCACATGGCAGCTCTCACCCTCCTAGTCCATGATTACAAAGGTCCAGGCTTACCAGGGCCCAGTTCCAGGAGAATCCTTCCCCAAGCAGGAAGCCCAGGGCATCCCCTCCACAGACAGACACTCCTGCCAGGGGTCCCAGCTTTTATCCCCCAGCACACACCTGACCTTTGGTCACTCAGTGCAGGACACCTGGGGCTCATTCACCTTCTGGCTCTCCCTGCAGGGCCAGCCCCACCCTGGGGGGAGCTGAAAGGCAAACTCAGCACCTCTGTATGAAGGGCTGTGGGAATCACCCACATGTCAACCTTAATTTGGGGCTCAGGGTTCAAACCCCAGCATTTCAATGTATATGCAAACCCTGTTCATTAAAATAGTTTAGGAATGTTCAAGATTGGCTACAAGAGAGAGAATTTAACTCCATCCTTGCAACATTTTGATAATTTGAAACTCTAGTTATATAATTTTGAATTCTGTTATGGTTTTACTGCTAACTGTATTTTGATAAACAGCCACTGGCCCTGAAATTATGACTTAGAATTCCAGGAGATGTGAAATAAATGTATGTTCCACCAAACATCCACATTTTCTCATTACTATCAATAGTTTACATTAAAGATATCTTTCCTATTGTCTGCTGTTCTCCATTACAGCTCTCTTCTTGGTTCTAGGGGTTACAGAAACATAGTTATTGCAACAAATCCTTTTAAAAAAAATATAATTGTTACTAACTTTTTGTATGTAGCATAATACATATCTATAATTAATAGTATATAGCTCTTATTAAAGCATTAGTTTAGTATTGTACATCAAGAAAAGTTCAGAAGACATTAGGAAGGATAATAATTTTAATGATACAATTTCTTACTGGTATCCTGTATATCTGTATGCACGTACAGTATCTATGCTGTATACTATACTTGTCTCTTGTATGCTACTGGTATATAGTTTATAACTAGCATAAGGTAGCATTGTAAATTTACTGGAGCTCTAGTGTATCTATGATTGCAATTCACTAAAAATTTTTTCATCACCACATTTCTTCATCAGATACTAACAGATGACAACTGATAGATACATACTAAATAATAGGAGAAAAATAGCTTATTTAACTTGTAGGGTAGAAGATATGGGAACATGAAATACAAAGTTTATTTGAAGATTTTAAGTTCTTGCTATGAAGTAGACACTTTACATTTTTGGAAAAACCAAAGTGATATGAGGAGTAAGTAAAATTCTAATGATAATTGAGGAAATAACATTCACGTTGTATTTTGGTGCCTATTCATAAGCTTAATCTAGAATATGACTATATGTAAATATGAATAGCAGAAGTGGATCTCTTGTATGTAGGTCACTTATCTTGCTTCTTAGGAACTGAGAGACTGCTATGGTATGTCAAGGTGCTTGTACTTGCTTGCTGTATTGGCTAACCTGGAAAAAAAACATGGACAAGCTAAAGCACTCCTTGAGAAAGCACAGCTCCTAGGAGGAAATGAACAGTTTTGGTACAAAAGTACTCTTAGTCTAATAGAAGCAATTCTAAAGGAAGATGGGAAAGGAAAATGGAGCATGGTAAGGAACTTTTGGGCATTTGGTGGATGGATTTTTTTCAGCAGTGGTGCAAAAGTGGTTCTCTTTTGGTGAAGAGAAATGTTACAGCCATTGCATTTCACTAAAAGCAAAATAAAGTAGTAAATGTAGTTAATATTGTTTTCTCTTTTGTGCATTCAACAAACATTAATTAGATTCCAAACAGATGCCAACCAGTAGGAATGAGATTTTACCCACAGAAATTTAGGATGTTTTTATAAGCTGTATATCCTTCTATTGAAATAAGAGCAATTTTAGGGCAGTAGGTATGACTAAACCTCAGAGATCCTGATTTTTTGATTGGAATGCTTTTGTACTCAGACAGTTCTGTTAACGTTGATGCGTTACTTATCCTGTGTTACTCACGTGTGAGAGATACTTAATGCGTTCTGCAAAAAAATTGAGCTTTCTAAATGAATGTTAATATTATACACAGATATTTAATATAGAATTATGAAATTTCTTATGTTACCTGCAGGCTTCTGAGATACTGGAGCACACTGTAAATGTGTTCAGGTCTACTTCACTGGAGAGACCTAACAGACGATCAGAGTTGGGATTTATAATTGCATCCCTTGAATTCAGGTAACTGTGTTTTCATTTCTATTATGCAGCTACATTGCAAATATATAGTGATTTTTACCATTCATCTTTATTTTAGTATGGTGCATTTTGTGGATGCTCAGATGTTTTTTTTCTTCTAAGTAATTTATGTGTTCATTTGGTTTTTTAAATTTAAATTTCCTTTTCAATTTCTTCATCATTGTATGTAACTTTCCTATCTGTTAAGTTATTAAGGTAGTTCAGATACCACAACTATGATGCATAGCTTGTGGTGTAGGTTACCCAAAGCAGCAAGATATATATGCCTATGCAGAGATATCTGTCTGAGCACAGAGGTTTCCACAATGCCATTGCAGTCTGAAGTATTGACCTGCTTCTCTACTCACCATGATCCAATAAGTCTTTTTATGATGAAACAATGATTTTGATTACATTAAAATTCAAGCACAGAGGGCGTAAAATTTTTCGATAAAAGGAGAGAAGTATGTAACATATACACTTCCATCTCCTTCCAGAAATGTGAAGCTTTTGGATTAAAACATGAAAACTAATAGTCTTCTCAGCTCAACTATATTTAGAAGACTGATTATGCCTAGGCAATTTGAATCATTACATACACAGAACAAATGACATCTTAATTCAAATCTGAAAATTTAATTTTTAAGACCTACTATAATTTTTAGACCACAGATTTCAAGAATTAAGATCTCTTTGTAGGTTTCTTAACAGTTTCAAGGAGAACAGAGACAAGTATGTCAGTTTTCAAACACAGCCTCTGCATCCTGACTGCTATCTTGCCTTTAATTTTTATTCCTAGGAAAACACTTATTCAGATACATTTTGCCCAAGATTGTATGACATTTAGTGCTGGGTCTTGTCAATTGTCACTTAAGCTACAGGAATCCTGTGATCAACTAGTTCAAGTTGAGAAAGAATTCTTTCATTATGGGTATAAAAACTGCAGTGCTGAGATACTGCTCGAACGTGCAAATCTTCACAGGTAAGATTATACTTCTGATGATTTAAGTCAATGAAGTGTATTAATTCACTTTTTTGTAGTCTAATTAAAGGTGGAAAAGAGCAGACAATATTGTCAGGGCTTATACCTTTTTTTTTTTTATGTGTTCTGTATTCGGAAAAATGCTGTTGAATCGAAAATTCTTTTCACCAAAGGCAGAGTTAATCTTACAGGGTACTAGTTATTTTTGTACTGGTTTTGAGGTCAAAACGAATTATCAAGATCTTTGTCAGCTTTTTGTCCTCTTATTTGCAAAGGCGTTTTGGCAGCCACATCAAGTAATTCTCAAGTATTTATAAGCTTTTACAATTCTTACTGTTGATATGGTTCTCTAGAAATTACTTTAGTAGCGAAAGTGCAGAACATGGTGTGCCTTGACTCCCAGCTGTTCCCAAGATGTCCCCATAAAACACTGGAGGTATGTTTCATACATGGGTATGCTGCTATTTTGTTCCTGGTGGATCCATACTGTTTCTTTGTGTCTTGGCATCTTATATTGCAGCAGCACAGTTCCAAGGATAAGCCCTTGAAAAAATTGTGCGAGTGTTCACTCTTACTATTAGAACATCTGGAAAAAAAAAGTGTACAAAATTAATCTATTTGATCTATTAATTAATCCTTTAATCTAATCTGTTAATCTAATTATTTTATTATATATGCTCAGTAGAGGTGATACGATAAAAATAAACACTTTAATTAGTTCCTTTGGATTTATGTTGCACTTTTTCAGGATGATTGCCAAGTGGGAAAGAAATGAAGAAGAAAAATATAGTCATTATCTAGATGCTTATAACTTGGCTCAGAGGGCAGTATCCAAAACAGAAGAAGTGTTTCATAATGTTTGTAGCATATCTGCACTTAATGAGGTATGGAATTTTTTTCCCCTAATCATGGAAACTAATTTAGTTGTGCTGTTCACTTACTCTTGGATAATTACTGGAAACTCCAAATATGATTATCTTCCTGTAATGACAGGCATTGTTTGAATATAGATGGAAACATTGCATGCAAAAAGAATTTACAATTTGAAAAGGGAAAAAGAAAGAGAAAGCAGGGTTTGGTGTTTGTAAATTTTATTTAATTCTAAAATTTATCTAATATGTCCAAAAGGAAAGTCTGAATGTGGAGATCTTTTTAATTCTCTAAATACCTCACAAGTTTAAAATTCTCTATAATAGTTTACGTCTCAGGAAAACAAAAAGGTTACACAGAACATTATGGAAGTAGAGAAAGCTTGTCTTCAGAATAGTGTATTTTGAGCAATGGAAGCCTGCAGCCTACTTTACTAGTGTGTACTGTTATTATACTATAGCATCCATCTTTTTTTTCTGCTTTGCCTTTTTTAGCATGCAAGTATTTTTGTGTAGCTGCCAAAACTGTTAATATTAAAATTCTGGGTTTATGTACACATCTGTATCTCCTTTGGAATTAGGTATTTGTACCAGGTAGAAAACTGTGAAAAGCAAAACCACAGCTACTCTTTATCCATGCAGATATTTTCATTGCTTTGTAACATATTTGACATTGAAGTTTATATTTCAAATTACTTCAACAGCAATATTTCTGGTTTATTGAGGTGATATTGTTAAAATATTTGCTTCTTTAGTTAAAAGCAATGCAACATTCAAACTTCTTATCAGGTAAATTTTAAAAAAAAAATATATGAAATTAGAATTCTATTTTCCTTTGTATTTCAGACTACAAGTATTAGTATCCCATTAATGAGGCAATTAGCTAACAGGAAAATAAATCTTGTAGAAATTCTTTTGGATATTTTTCATCTTGTTATTACTGAGAAAAAGCTTAAGACAGTGGGAGAAGCATCATCTGACAAAATTGTGAAGGCATGCATCAGGGGAACTGTTGAAGATGATGCAAGAGAACAGGTAATGCAAAATATTTACTCCCATGATTTGCATATAAAAACTATAAGAAACTTTCCTAGGGATATTTTTCATAGCAGAACTTATTCCACTACTGAGGAAATGAATCCTTAGACTATTCATGAGGTTTCGCAGAAAGGAAAGTTCAAGTGTGTGGGTTTTGTCATTGGGAAGTTTTAATGTTTTTGTATTATTTTCTCAGAAAAATTTTATTTCTTAAACACAGAGCTATAAAACCCACCAAGAGTAGCAGGGTTAGGGCTTTGTAATTGATGGGTAGGCAGGTGTGCATTATTGTCCCTTCTTTTTAAAACAGTCTGTTTTAAGCAAAGGTGCTTAACTGAGACTGAATAAGAACATAAAGACATGCCCCACTGAAAGAGAGCAGTAATTCTTGCCCATTATTCTGTCTCTGACAATGAGAATAGTAATTGCTGTCACAGGAGAGTACAGTATCCCCACCCTGCTCTCCATTACCCTCTCCTTAGCCCATGTTTTCTTCAGCACTGGTTGTTGTTTATGTATGGATGTTACGGTGTACTTTGTATATCTATTAAAGACAGTTTGTAGTTGAAAGTGTAATCACATTTAACAAATGTGTTTGCATGTAAGTGTGTTACTTTTTTTAAGGAAGTATGTTTCTGTAAGCTTTGGAGTATATGAGCAAATAAAAATATGTATTTTACCAGGATTGGAAGCGTATGAAGTGCACTGTGGGTCATGTTACACTGGCTCAGTTAGCAAACATGCAGAATCTTTGTAAAGGCTGTCCTGATATCAAATCCAAATGCCTACATCTCACTGGAAAAACTCTTCATTTACTTGCCATTAACGTGGGTCCTGTACATTCAGAGATTTACTGGAAGCCAAGTGTTATGGTATGCACTCTTTTGCATTTAAACTCATTCATTCCTATGTGTAAACTTTGTCTGCCACAATTTTTTTTTCAGTATACACATGTGTAATACTACTCTTCATTTAGAGATTTTTACATATTGCATGCAACTGGTTAAAAAAGTATATTGAACCAAGTAATTTCAGAAAAATACTTCTCCTGCATGCCATCCTAACGTTGATAATTTTCTATTTGTTCCTGAGATATGCTAATTACAATATTTTTAAAAGAGAAAATGAAAAAAACCAAATCTTTGAATGCCTTGAAGGCTAGCTACGTTGGTCTCTCAATCTATGCAAGCAAGAAATAATGACTTGTAAATTCAAAGTTCAGATATTCATAAATTCCTTTTGTGTCATAGAGAGAACACCATGTAAGAAATAGAAAGCTGATTGAGTCATTGTAATTTCCGGGATGAATTAAAGCATTCACAAGAAATTGAGGACAAATTTCAGTCAATAGAAACCTTAGAGGTTGTAGGGGAGGGCTTTTTAGTTTCTATTAGTCATACTGTCATCATAACTTATTAAGAAATTTTGATAATATTTCTAAATCACTCACCATCAAGAGATTCATATGGTGAGATGATTTCCTTCAAGATAAGTTCCATTTTCACCTAGAGTTTCACAAAAGGAATTAAGCCAACTATATTAATGCAAAGATTAATTACTCTTTTTTCTATACTGTGATTAGCAGGATGAAGCTAAATCAGACATTGCAAAAACTTCCTTGACTCCAGCAGAATGTAGTGAAGAGAAAGTGACAGACAGCTGTTTACTATCTAATAAATGTCAATATAATAAGTATAGGATGAAAATACAGGAATTAAAGGTATATTAGCAATATGCTTGCACTAGAATTTGTATTTCCTTTTTATCAAGTAGTAGCCATTTTACCTTATAAGTTCAGTTTGAAATGTTTGTAACAGATTTGATCTTATGGAAGAAAATTCTCCAGAACACCCCCAAAACCCAGCAATCCATCGCTGCTGTCCTGCCCCTCAATACATATTGCGGGAGCTCCTGACTGAGCTTTCCCAGTTGCTCCCAGAAGGAAATAACTTCTCCTTGAGTAGTTTCCCACTAATCAAGCATATAACAGCCAGGACAAAATGAACAGGCAGCCTTTTCTCTGCTTCACAGACATGCCTTTCTAAAGGAGCATAACATTTTGTAGACTGGGAGCAGAGAAAGTAATAATTTCTATCATAAAACATCTGTAAAATTCTTAGAAAATTTAACTTGTACAGTGACTTGATCACTGTTAACTGCTGCAGCTCAAAGCATGCTAGGAATTGGGAAGTTTGTGTGGCTAGTATAACAAATAAGTGTTTGAGTTAAGAGATCTGTGTATTTGTTTATATCAAGTACAGTCAGCTGTCAACAGAAACAACTGTACTGGGAATTAACAGAAAATTCCTTCGTTTTAAGTGGTTCATGTTGCCCAGAATTTAAATACTGTTCTGCTAAATACCTATTTTATATTAAAGAAAGTATCTTATTAAAACTTTAATGTTGTAGAACAGTTGTTGGTGTCTCCTAAATAATCTGTGTTTACATAATTTGATAATACATTAAATAAATGCCTTAAAAAGGAGAAAAAGCATTAAAATTAGTAATTAAGTAATACTTAGCTTTTCTAACACATTAGTAAGCTGTATAACAAATACTGAATATTAATACATACTATAATATAAACTTTTTTGGTTTTATCATCTAGAAGAAACATAGGTTGTCTCAGAAATATCTTTCTCAGTCCAGCGAAGCTTTGCTACAGTGCATGGGTATTGCATTCCATCATAATATTACTGATGTTCTTGCTCCTGCTAGTTTTGAAATGGTTGAATGCTTTCAACAATTTGATCCAGTTTCAACTAGCCAGTTTTTGGCACTTCATCAGGTAATGCAGCTACTGTATTGTGCTTTCCAGTATAAAAACAGGTGTTTTAAATTCCATAAGTAAAAATGTCTATTTATACAGCCTGAAAATTGGTCATAGAACATAATGTATAGATATATACAAGAACTAGCAAGTAATACAGTTAAATATGTTTTCCAAGTTCAAAATGCTTGATCAGTGGCTTTTTAACAATCCTATTATCTGTTGTGTTTGACATTTTCATTGATGATTACATACGTGAAAAAGTTTCAGCATGACTAAATTACTATAATGTGAATAGCTAAGACTTAACCACAAAATGTAGTTTGATCCTTCTATAACAAATAAGCTTTTAAAATCTTTCTTTGGATTTATTAATCCATTATTTTGAAGTAGCTAGGCGAGTTTTACCTTGTTTGTCAAATCAACACCCACACAGCACAGTCCTGTAGATGCCTTGAAGGTGTATGAATCACATATGTATATGCCTTCATCACATAGGTAAGGAATGGCTGTAAGGCTTGTATTCCCTGCATCAGAAACAATTAACACACACTAGGAATCCTGCACCTCCATTGTAGAAATACAGAAATGCACCTTACATTAGTTTACTTCCTGTCACGTCAAGGCAACCACAGGAAAGTGTCAGACAGTAAGCACCTGCCTATGTATCAACACTTCGATTAGCCAGTACCTCCACCCATGGGTGGAATGGACTAGGTAGGTCTTCTGATAAATCAGAAAACAGCTCATACTGGGTTTTGTAGTTCCTGTAGTCTTGCAGCACACTGCATTATTTATGGCTTGCTGTCATAGTTGATAGTGAACAAGATAAGGAGAACATGTATCAAGGCACCAGAACTGTAACTAGTCGTGTCTTTTACTGGGAAAAAAAAAAAATCTGCTACTTTTAATTACTATCATGGCCAGAAAGGCTTTTTTTTTAAAAAAAAAAAAAAGAAGTTTAAAGCATCACGCCATGCCAATATTAAGCCTTGCTTGGGAACTTTTGATTAGGTCAAATCAAATTGCCTTTTTTTTTTTTTTTAATGTGACAGCAGCATTAAAAGGAAAAAAGTACTTTAGCTTTTAGCAAACATCAGTTCAAAGGACAGGATTGGAACGTTGGCTGAAAGTAAAGGATATAAAGTCTTACCCTTTATATTGTTCTTTCTAGGAAGTCTGTTAAAGTGTGTGATGTGATAGTTATGTAGTAAAAGGCACAGAAACAGAGAAGACTCTGCTTACTTGAAATGCTGTGTTTAGAACACAGGCACTACCTTTCCAGGTAGGCTATAGACAACTATGGGCAGGAACATAGATGATTGTTCTGCCCATGACCAGGCCCAACGAGAATGATACACCCAGCAGGAAGATGAACCAACACACAGACTGTATTGTCAGCAAAAAGGACATTCCATGAATGATCACTGGGGGTACAAACAAGTCAATCAGCTGGTACATAACTGACACCACCCCCAGCGATCCCACCAAAGACACGACTGCCCACAACAGGTGGTATGAACAGAGAACCAAGGCTTCCCATAGTTGGCAAGAGAAACAGCCATATTGCCAAGATTAAACATATAAGAGAAAGGTGCCCACATGGCAACACTCACCCGATCAGCCCACGTTCACAAAGGTCCAAGCAGACCCAGGCACAGCTCCAGGAGAGTCAGGAGGTCTCTCCTGAACCAGGCAGCTCTGTGGACTGCACTCCACAGACAGACACTCCTCCCTTCCTGCCAGGGGTCCCAGCTTTTATCCCCCAGCACACACCTGACCTTTGGTCACCCAATGCAGGACACCTGGGGCTCATTCACCTTCTGGCTCTCCCTGCAGTGCCGGCCCCACCCTGGGGGGAGCTGAAAGGCAAACTCAGCACCTCTTTATGAAGGGCTGTGGGAATCACCCACATGTCAACCTTAATTTGGGGCTTGGGGTTCAGACCCCAGCATTTCAATGATATTTGTAAACAAGTCAATTCTAGCTGTTCGTAATTAAGAAATCTTCATCAGTTATCACCAGACTGTTTACCTTAGATTCTAAATACAAATAGCAGACAGGCTTTTGCTAATCCATGTCAACTTTCAAGCAAGAGACTTTTTCCTTAACATAGATATATTATAATACACATAGAGTGTATGTGTTTTTGTGTTATTTTTTGCAAGGAAAATAAACATATAAACCAAATTTTACAGAGCTGTTCAGTGTCTATGATGATGAAGAGTATCCTTCTAACAGCTACATCTAACACCAGCAGTTCTCAACTGGCAGCGTTACTGCATCTCCAGAATCATTTAAAACAGAACAGGGACACAAGTGATCTTCTAAAAAATGTGGAACACCAACTGACTGCTACTGCAATGGTAACCTGAGATGTGTTAATTATTAGGGGCTTATACGTATGTTGTATAAATACAGAGAGACATATATACGTATACATATATACACACAGAGATATATATTTCATCTATTTTCTTTATTAAACTTCTGTTTTCTTAATTTGAGGCATGGGTGGATTTGCTCGTGAATCAAAATACATTTTTATTGATATGGTATTTATATATGGGATGGTATTGGCTTGGCAGCAAAGGATTAGCTGTAGCTGGCAGGGTTTAATCATTTACAAAATGTGGCAAGCAGAGATACAGTACAGGATAAGAAAAATATATATTCGTAGGCTACTGTTCTGGCTTTTCTCTGTATGTGCTGTATTTCCTTATTTACCAGAAGGAATAGGATATTTTGTTCAGAAGCCACTGTTTTTGAGGTGGTGTATAACCTAGATGAAAACATTCATCAATGCCCACCATGTCTGTGCCTGTTGCATTAGCTCAGGAAAGTAAAGGGTGGCAATCAAGGCATCTGTTTGTGGCTGCATTCTTGAACTGCCTGATCCAGGCAGCATAAGATGCAAGAAATCAAAGTGGTCCCTGAAGTAGTGCTCTCTGAGGATATATTAGTGTTTTTTAAAATTCAGTTGAGATTTTTAGTTCAGATCAGGACTTTCAGAGTGAATCTCCAAATTGTCCTTGCTTATAGTGCTTTCATTTGTGTGCTGATACAATGATTGCGTGAGCTGGCTTCCTCTCAGACAAAATCTGCTCCTCTCCATGTGGCTGCAGGTCCTGCCAGGAGCCTGCTGCAGCACAGGGTCTCCGTAGGGTCACACCTTCCTTCAGGATTCATCTACCTGCTTGGGCATGGGGTCCTCCATGGGCTGCAGGAGGACACCCTGTCTCACCATGGTCTTCTCCACAGGCTGCAAAGGAATCTTTGCTGTGGCACCTAGAGCACTTCCTTCCCCTCCTCCTTCACTGAACTTGGGGTCTGCAGGGCTCTTTCTCTCACATATGCTCACTTCTTTCTTCCAGTTGCTGTGTAGTTTTTTTACTGATTCTTAAATATGTTCTCACAGAGAGGCTATCTGCTTTGCTGATGGGCTCAGGTTTGGCCAGTGGTCTTGAAGCCAGTTGAAACTGTCTGTGCCCAACATGGGGACAGATCCTGGTGTCTTCTCACAGAAGCCACCCCTGCAGCTCCCCCAGATACCAAAACGTGGCCATGTAAACCCAATAAAATTTTATATAGTTTGTTTTGGTGAGGTGTCTATTCTTAAAAAAATTGTGAAAGACATATTTTACAAATACAAATGTTACAATTAAATATTCTGCTCCCTTCCTTTGCTAATATTCTGCTAAAATTTGATAGCATTTTAACTGTACTGTTAGTGTTGTGGCCAAAAACATCATGATGGAGACAAAACCCTTGTGGATAAAAACAAAGGCAGTTTAGTTCAAAAGCAAAGTCAAGCAATGCCACATGCAGAAGCGCAGAGAAAAAGACCAAAGGTTTATTCTCTACTTCCCAGCCGCAGGCGACACCTGACCCCTTCCCGGGCAGCCGGGCTTCAACACGTGCAGCACTTGTTCCAGAGGACCAAGGAATAGTTCCCCCCTCCCACCCTCCTCCTTCACACCAGGTCTATAGCTGAGCTGGCGTCCCACGCTCTGGAATATCCCTTTGGTCAGATCGGGTCAGCTGTCCTGGTTATGCCCCCTCCCCAGATCTTGCCCACCCCATCCCACCACGGGGGGATGCCAGAAAGAGCCCTGGTGCTGTGCGAGCCCTGCTCAGTGGGAGTCACACCATGGGTGTTACCAGCACCCTTCTAACTCCCAACACAAAAGCTCTGTACCGTGAGGGCTGCAATGGGAAATCAGCTCAGCCAGACCAAATGTGTTGCTGTAAAGGATGGAATAAGTTACAGTTTTGACAGAATGGTTGAGGTTAGAAAAGGCCTCTGAAGGTCATCTTGTCCAACCCGCCTGCTCAAGCAAGGCCACCTAGAGCCAGTTGCCTAGGACCATGTCCAGATGACTTTTGAATATCTCCAAGGATGGAGACTCCACAGTGTCCATTGGGCAACCTGTGCCTGTTCTCTGTCATGCTCACAGTGAAAGTGTTTGCTGTTGTCTGGACAAAGCCTCCTGTCCTGGCACATCTGCTGAGTGTTTGTTTTGGCTTTTAAAAAAAAAATAAAAAAATAGCACCTTCTTTCCTAAAATTATTATCAGTTTTCTGATGAAAGAACTGATATTACAGTTTATAAAATCAATGAAAATAATGCTAATTCTGAATTATTGTACAGGCATGGAGAAATCTCTGTATTCCTGTTGAACACTTTAACATCATGGATGAATTGCCATCTAATTTCTACATAATTATTCTCCAGCATTCAGAAGACAGGTATACAATCTCATAATTTTGGCTTAGCATTCTGTTTGTTACAAATTTTTTTTTTTTTTAACCTGTAAATAATCACTATTGTGGTTTTTTATTGCCTTTTACTTCTAATTTTGCTAGACATATTTTAGGAAAGTGAACAAATATAAATATAGAAATAAAACTGCAGCTCAAAGCTGTATGTTTTTCTGTTCTTTTGATTTCATTAATTAGCTCTTAAATCTCCAGAGGTCACTTGAAAGTTTTCAGGCCATTCTTCCCATGCTCCTAAATTCTGTTCATAGTTTCCAGCACTTATTGATTATGTTCTTGAAAATGTGGGGAGGGGTCACATTTAGCTTTATAAAGCTACAAATTATCTCATTACTGCAGCCTAACTAGAGACTACTCATAAATGGAGCTATAGCAACTAAGAGTACCTTCACCAGTTACAAAAAGTCTTAAACAATTGTCATGGAATTCATAAAAATCTACCTTACTGTATACATAGCAGTGAAAGAACTTTCCTTACAGATCTCAGTTTGTTCCAGTTAGGTTTTGCAGATTTTTTGCACCCAAAGGTGGAGGTAAATATTGCATCTTGAGAGTTTGTGGGAACATTAAATTTGTGGGTAATGAGTACTCATCTAATAAATTTGCTTCATATAAACAAGGTGAACAGTCAAATAATCTACTCATCAGTTTTCTGCATTCCATAGATCAAATTTGTACAGTTCACTGATTGAGATGCCAAAAGTAAATGCTGCACAGCAAAAAGGAAAACCCACTCAGAGAATGGGTAAGTGCCTCTTACATTTAAGAGCCTGCACTGATGGTAGGAGAAAGCTCATGTCTTTTCACTGTTGCAAGCCAATAAAAATATAAAATATCTTTTAAAATAATTGTAACTCTTATTAATACCAGATGAAAGTAAATACCTAAATATATCTGTTTCTTTATCAGATATATCTAGTCACAATTTCTGAGAATTTTTGTTTACATTTGAAGGCTAAAGTTGTTACAGGTAAATAATCATAGAGAATTTTTTCATTGTGTGTTGCTTTATATATTTTGTGCTAAATACATATAAAAAGATATTTCATTTTCAAAGAATACCATGGCTTTAGAAACTGATGATCCTTATACAGTCATATCTTTAAGTACAAATATGATGTCTCAAAAAGAGTGTTAAGGTGCTGTTACCCTTCTTTTAACAGTGCAAGCTAAAGTTTCTCGCTGTCCTGTGAATCCTGATACACTTTGTGTTTTGTTGGAAAAAGTGCGTCTTTACAAGCAGCAGAAGATGAAGAATCAGCTTAAACAGACTGTTGTACAAAACTGGCAAGACTGTGTCTCCAGGACAGATGTGGTAATATATTTAATTATTTTATATTTCAAACGCAGTGAAAAAATATGTACTAAAAATCTATCATAAACACCCTTTATGCAGAAGTTCCTGTTTATTGCGAGTGTAACATCCCTAGTCTTCACAGCTTCTAAATGCTGTGTGCTCTGCTTCAAAATTTAACTGTGTTACACTCTTACTATTGCCATTGTCATTCAACAGCTTTGTAATGTTCAGTATTTTATCAGAATTGAAAACTGATGCAACTGAGATCAATTTCCTTGGAAATGTGGTGTACCTCTACGATATGCATTTGCAAATGTGCATTGCCTTTCATATCACATGAAAGCCCTGGCTTTCCCCAAAAAATAACGGGATCATAGATCTCAACCCTTTAATAAAAATAAGTCTATTTTAGCCAGACTTATTACCGATTTCCAACACAGAAAGCTTTCTTTTTAGGACACACAGTATGTTTTGCACTATAGCTGTTTTTTTGGACACAGTTGATCTAAGTCTGTTAGTCACAAAATTCTGCTTCAAGGACACATCTCATTGGAATTCCCAGTTTGTAGCTATGAATACACTTAAATTCTAGATGATAAATGTTTTCTGTTAGTGTAAGAAGGCTCAGTTCTGTAAGGACACTGTTGCAGTCAGTGAACACAAGCTGTGTAGCATAAAGGTACACTGGAAAAGCCAGTGACTTTCACATAAGCTTTTAAGCTGCATGGTGACAAAATTTTTTTACATGTGCAGTGTGTAAGTCTGCATCCTAGCATTCTAATTTAATTTTGGCTCCATAGATAACTTTTATACTTTCCAGTGTCAATCAGATTTCACTGTTAAATAGAGCATATTAGCGAACGCTGGTATAGACATATTTCCATCATTAATATAAAGGTAAAAAATACAGATCATAATTTTCTATACAAGTTTTCATTGTTTTAATCATACAACTTTGGCACATCTGGTTCTTGAATTATAATTCTGTTTTATTTATCATGTTAGCAGCTTTCAGTTCGAATACCAGTTACTGCAGATGGTTGAAGTGTTGCTCACTTTTTTGCTTGTCTGTGGCCAGCCTTTTTTGTGATGGCAAGTTATGTAAAGTTTTCTGGTTTTGCATAAGTAAAGGAGAAGGTGGTAAGATAACGTCAACTGGAACAGACAGAAGAAAAAAAGTGTCTTAGTTTTTAAAATGCATGTGGATTACAAATGTAAATAATTATGCATGCAGCTTGTACAGAGCCACACACATGGAGCTTTAGGTGAGATAGCCATTCATTAATACCACCACACTTCATCATTTACTTGGGTGTGTTTTTCCAGCTATTGTTTCTGTGTCCATCTACACTGACTTTTAAAAGCTTCAGGTTTTTGTTGTCTTCTCCTGCATGATTCTGTTCTCTCCTTATCTACTTTCTTCCTTCTGTTTAGTTTTTTCCTAAACTGGCTCCACTTTAATTTGCTGCTTCTACATTCATCTTGCAGTTTCAGTTTACTTCTCAGGGTTGTCCTTTTCACAATTTCTTCCTGTTATTTGGAGCACTACATAATCTTTCCTTTCTTCTGGACTTCTCTGCCAGATTCTCCATTAAAATGGCAGAAGTATATTGATCACTTAAATGTTGATATCTTCTGCTGATCTCTGTGTCAGACTATTTTGCAAAATGCTGATAGGAGTGATGTTTTGAAGTAAACTAGTTCTGAAGCTGACTTTATGTATATTTTCTTTTACAAATTATTTTATTTAGTCTCTGATTTAACATAATACACCCTTCACCCTTGTTAAATAATGTTCTAACATTGTAAGCATTCTGGTTTTTGTTGCAATTCTGTTTTTTTTTGTGTTAGACTCCAACCAAGGAAACAGGTGATAATGGCCATGATTTCACATCAGATTTCTCTGAAATATTAGAGATTATGGAAGAATACCTGAAACCTGTGCTGTCAGAGTTTAATTTTTCTGGTGTCAGGTAAGAAATTTAGACTTGTTTTATCTTCATTTGTGAAAACAGAATGGTGACTCAGGTCCTACAAATACAGGAATGGCTTTAGCAAAAGTAGACCCTGCTACATGAACTTTTGCAAAGATGAAAACTCTTGAAAGACGATACGTGTAGATTATGCAAGACTAAGAGGATTGAACCGTATGATAGACCAATGGCCATTTCTGACTACTAATGTTCCCCAGCTTAAGTTATATGATACTGTGTTCAGGATGAAACATTATGATTTGACTAGTTAAGGATGGGATTTCCACAGTACAGGAATTCCAAAGGGCGTTCATCCTTTGTGTAAAACTTCATGGAGATTGAAGTGGTTTTGTGTTTCCTGTGAAATCTTCTACTTACATAAGTATTAGTGTGAAGTGCTGGAGCTTAAACCCCCAGCCCTGAATGAGGGTTGGCATATGGATGATGTCCACAACCAGGCAAGAAAGCGCCTCCTGATTGGTTTTCACCCAGGGTCTGGCCAGCCTTGGGTGGGAACCGATGGTGTTCACCACCAGGTGCCCCCACCTGCCACAGTAACTTAGAGGCAGGGCAAGAAGTCACCTCTGTAAGAACTGACTCCCCTTACAGTGGGGTTGGGGAAAGTTTACTTACATAATAGGTGTACTGTGTAGGATTTCCAGTTGTTGGAAGGACTCCCTGAGGCAGGTAGAGTTCCCAGCAATAGTGCAACAAGTTCCAGACAGAAAGAGGATCACGAGGTTTTCCCTGGGTAATTACTGTATGATTGGACTGATTGCCTGGCTTATTCCTTCCCACATGGCTTGGTTTCTGAGTCAGCTCACTCCCTTCTTTGCATCAGATTCTGTGAGTGAATGCATCAATCTATTCTTTCCTCCAGTGGTTGGCCACATTGGATCTCTTGTGTGTAGTTTAAGACCAGAGGGAAGGATCTGGCTCTTGTTTTGCCCATTCATGATAATATCCTTCTTTGTTGGGCAAGCGGTCAGCAGAAGATAGTGCTGGTAGTATTTTCACTGTAATTTCTCTTCACAGAGAACAGACCACATCAGTTTCAGCAGCTGAAACAGGAAAAATAAAAGTGAAAGATGAGGACACCAAACACACTGGAATGCAGGGTATGTGCACTTGAGTACAGTATGTGTATGTATCTGTGTGTATGGACAGACGTCAAAATCCTGGCACTGTAGTTTCAATATTTTTAAGTCAGGGAGAAGAAAAAGACTTTAGCAGTGTCTTTTTTTTTTGTTTATTTTCTATATCAAGTCAAGTATTTTAGTATACTTCCAAAAAGATTATTTATATGCCGGATGGAGCTATCCTTCTGCGTGTGTTTACAGTCTTCCAGACTATACAGGCTTTAGACAGCTAAATAAAATGGCTTTATTACAAACTTGTCTTTCTAAGAGAAAGGCCAAACCAAAGAACTTTAAGTCTGTTGATCTCTTTCTGTTTTGTGTTTTTATAGACTATCACGAATTGGTTGCTTTAATGCAAGCCTGACACTAGCACATGTCTTTAAGCATGTTTCAAGAAAAAGAGACAGTCAAGTCCATGGCTTGCTTTGGGGATGAGTTTTTTGCTTTATGGTGGGGAGCAGTGAAGTTTCTCAATTAAAAATTAATTAAAAAAAATACACATTTTCCTTTACACAGTTTCTTTATGCAATCTGGCAGCTTCTGTCATTCTGCAGAGGCTGATTAACTTGTCTTCCATGTATTTGTTCTTTCTCTGTGGAACGGGAAAATGTTGTCATAATGATGTTTAGTACTTTTTTTATTTCTTCTAAATAACAGAAACAAATATCAGAAAAACACTGTATTGGGTAAGAACTCCTTTACAACTCTGTACTGTTTAGCCAAACACAGCTAGGGAAATTTTGCATTTCCAAACATCACATTCTTGAATACATTGCATACACGTGGACTTCGGTTTGAGATGGTTGGTTATTCATATGGTGATATTTTTCCCACTGAAGAATCAGTGCTCACATGTGCATGTGCACAGAAGTTTGACAACATCTTGGGAGTAATGGTATTAAAAGAAATATTTTTGCATAATGCACCTAATCCATGCTAAAATGAAGTTCAAGCATCATATAAGAGATGAAATTTAGGGCTTTGTATGTAATTTCAATTATTTGTATACATATTTAGAACTACTAAATCTCAGTCACGTTCTGTCACATTTCTTCAGGTACACCCATGGACTTAGGATTGTGTGTGATATTACTAGGAGATATGCTATTTATGGAGTTGCCTTTGGAAGCTCTGAGTATCTTTAAAAAGGAAGGAATAAGTTCTGTATCCAGAGATTTTTCTCTCCAGATTCTCTACAATCGAGTCCATCTGGCTGAGTCAGGTACTACTAGATAAGACATTCTTTGCATTAGCATATTGCAGCAGTGAACAAGATGCTTAGAATTTAAATAGTATGGTTGATGTATTATATGTTACTGGAAGACTGCCACATACAATAGTTTTCCAGTATTTTAGATGGAATAGATAGTACAATAAACTTCAGTAATGTATACAGTGATTATAGTTACTGTGCTAGCTGATTTAAAATAACCTCTGTATATTAAAAATTAGCTAAATGTAGGTGGAATCTAAAATGCCTTGCAGAGTTTCAGTTACACAAATACGGTCTTAAACTCTTTAAAGCATTTTTCAGCTGCACTAATAAACCAAGAATTTAGACTTCTGTTCATTTTCTTTAATGTTAGTGTTTGCTCAAAACACCAAATGTAAAAACCTTTTAATCATTGAGTTAGTTTATCTCTCTATAGCTGAGATTACATTAAGGGCTCAGGTCGATCCAGTGATTATTGTGCTATGCATGAGCAAAATCAGATCCCACAGGCTTTATGGACTTGCTGCATTACTGCAGACACTCGCACCCTATGTAAACTCTTCAGTGAACTGAGTTTAAGTGGGGTAGTTGGACAGCTGGTAATCTTGTCCTTATGACATCCTAAAACTCATTCTTGTTTATTCTAAAAGTGAGTAATAAATGCAGGCAGTAAGCAGAGGTTTGTTTGTTTTTTTTTTTTTTAATAAATCAAAGATACCTTCTATCACTGAAGTTAAGAACTGGGTCACGTTTTCACTCAAATTATTAAAACTAGTGGTCCTTAGCTAAAGTAGGATAAGTTTAGAAAACTCACTCTGTTCCATGGAAGTATTCCATTCCAAAGAGATTTTTGTCTCATGTTCATGAACCTGTCATATTTAGTGCCTTCAGTATAACTTCTTCTGTTCTTCCATTTCACTTCTCCTTTCTAAAGTGAAAGAACTATGAATAATCTGAGAGAGAATATTTTTACTTTATATACTGTACATATACTGTTACTGGTCTGTTAGAAATAGCAAGTTTGGAACATTGGAGTTTTCCATTTATGTTTTTGCCTTTTTTAAAGTGACGCTTCTTATTACCACAATTTTAGAAACAGATGAATGAGAGGAAGCATAGTTGAAAAGTCTGTGTTCATGCAATTAGAAAAGTAACCTCTGACTGAGGAGAGAAGCACTAGCCATGAGTAATAACATGTATCTCAAACTTCCATCAGCTCTCAGCGCACGCCAGTGATAGCTGGCTGAGACATGTACTTTGGGTGGCAGCCATATATACAGTGCGAAATATGTCAGTTTTATGTGCTATTAAAAAATTCCTTTTAAAACAAATCAGATTCAACTATGGAACTTTTTTTTCTTTTGATCTCCAATCTGCAGCATAATGAATCATTTGCATGTTTAAGGGATCGCATTTCTTGCTTTTTTTTCCCCTTACTTTCAAGCCATTATTTTTAAGCAAAAGTATTTGGTTTATTTTTTGAAATTAATTCTTATTTTTCTAGCTTATTCCATTATTAATATTATTATTAGATCATAACAAATTTAATTAGTCCTTCCAGAAAATTGTATTCTCTAAAACTGCCTGTATCTTAAAAACTAAAATCTGTTCTTTTCAATTCCACAGCTACTGAAGTTAAAACAGATGTCAAAATATCTAAAAAGACAAAACCAAAAGCTCATCAGAAAAAGAATGTCAAAATGGTGAACTTTCCACTTTTTTAAAATAAACTCAGTACTGAGTAGCTCTTCTTTTTGTGTAACAATGTTAAAGAACTAAAAGTGGCTTGCATAGAAGCACAATATATATGCCAGAATTCTGAAGTGGCATAAGTGTCACATTGCCTGTTGTTGATTTTGCAGTAATGACAGTTGTTGTTTCTTTGGTAAGTCATACTCTCTGTGTAAATGTGACATATTTAAGAACCCAACAAGGGAGTGCTTAAAGTTAATAAAATACTTCCCCCCAAAAGAAAATATATTTCATATAGTGTATGCAGATATTCTTATAAATATGTAAGCATATATATCTATATGAGTGCACACGTTTATCTATGTAATGTATGTATATGCATTCTAGATAATGCAGAATAGCTTATGCTTTTAATTTCTATTGATAATTGAGCATCATGCTGCTTTCAATCCTACCTTCAAAGCATTAGAACATCTTTTTGTTAGTTGTTTGATGCAAAGAATACAATATTGTTAATATTTGATAGAGATTTCTGCATGTAGTAGAATATGTATTCTTTTTAATTGTAGGCACCAATTAATCATGATTTACACTCTAATTGCTTGCCTGTTAATGCTCATAATTTCAAATGTATCCTTTCAGAAACTATTAGCTAAGTGTATCAGTTAAACTTTCCTTTTTTTGCTGTTTGCACTTCATTGTTTACACTTAACTGTTCATCAGATATTGTGGACCCCTATAATGAAGGCAGAGAAGCAGGTAATATATATTAAATAATATTTTCTCCACAGACTACCCAAGGATTTTAGAAATTTTTGTAACAGAGAAGGAAGTCGTGACATCAGGATATTGACAAAAACACTTAGCTTTTCATCAGAACAGTACTGCCAGTCACCTATCAAATGACGCATCAGTGAAATATAACCTGTTTCAGGTTCAGAAAAGAAATGAGGTTGTCTTATGTCTTTCATATCACTAAATATTGACCTAATATCACCATGAAAATAATTGCTTGAGTAATCTTTTACTGTGTAATACCATTAAACACATGCTTTCAACACCTTCCTATAGCATTTTTAATTTTTCAAATATAATCTATTAATACACAGTATCAGTGGTGCAGAGAAGGTTATAGATTAATTGAAAGGATATGGTGCTTTGTATGATCTTTGTTATACAAGAAATTTGCTAGAAAGCCATGAATAGAATTCGAACCAACAGTACTGGGTAGGAGTGGAGGAAGTGGGAAGATTTTCACAATTGCTACAGTTTTAAAAGCCAGACTTAGGTTTCAAAAAAAAATTAAGATTAAATGGTGACCTAAACCCCCTTAAATATTATACTGTAATTTTTAAATTATTGAAATTAATTGCCCAACATCATTTGTAGCATGTTAAACTCATAATGATTAAATTCTTTTGTAACAGAAGCTTTAGGTCCTTCACAAAAAATAAAGGAAATCCTAGAAAAATACCAATATCTGCAATGGGAAGGAATTATTGGCAATCTACATGTTCCAAGGTTTGTAATATTCTCTCTGCTTTCATGTTTTATCCATGTTTCCTTTTTGAAATTGTGCCTATTCGCAGAGACTTCAATCATAAAATAGGGTCATGTTTTGCTGACTGGTAAACACATAGCTAACCATTGTCTGTTTCAAACATGTATTTAGATTTCTAGACAGAATATTTTAGGGATCTGAAATACAGTGCTACAAAGTGATTTAACCAGATTGGTTGCACCAGAGCTGTATATGCAGATAACCCAGTTTTGACAAAAAGTCTGTAGTGCAGTCTTGGATGAATATTCTAAGTGCATGTGGGCCTAAATGTTGTTTCTGGCTTTATTTATAACTGTCTTTAACTCCAAGTAATAAAAACTATAGCATCACTATGCAGATTGAGTTGGCTGTAAGACTGGAGCACAGTTTTCAGAAGCAAAGTAGTGAAGGTACATCTCACAGTTACAATTTCAAACATCTGATCGTGAAACTAGTACCATTTTATGGAGTTTATTCATAACATGCTTCATTCATTATAGAAGTATTTTACTTTTAAGGTTATAGCAATAGAGGGATAAAAAGTATCTTGAGAGGTCAAGCAGTGAGAAATCCTGTGAGTCAGCACAGTCATGACTGGACTTGGCTTTATAACTGCTGGTTTAACCAGCCCTTTGAAATCATCACTACTTAAGTAAAATCACTGGGCAGGTACTCCAGGGTATCTTCACAGCAATGACAAATGTTACCTCTTGTCAAATTGCATAGTTTTTGCTGCTAGCTAGGCTGATTATTTCTTCTCTTTTCAGAACCTAAACTCTTCATATCCTGATGGGTGCATACATGAATACTCCTATTGAATATTAGACTAAATACTGCTATTTCAAAGCTGTACAGTGCATATATGTCAATGATTTTAGGGTTTTGAGACTATTGAGCTTCCCTAAAAATACATTGTGCCCTTGTTTAGTTTGAGATGTTACTAAACTAAGTAACTTCTGTATTAAAAGAATTACTATTAACAATCTAGATGAGTAGCAGTTTTGCAGCTTTCTTTGTGCTTTGTTTGCTGACCTTTTGTATAAATATTTCTGGAGTAAATAACACTGAAGTGTTTGCTGTGGATAATATATGAAGAATATTCTTGTACAGTAGTAACAAAAGTAACTTACTTCCTTTCTTCTTCCTTCCTTTCAGCCAAGCTGAATGGGAGCAGCTGCTGACCAGCTGCAGTGCATTTCTGTTTTATGGGATGGAGAGATTCATGTCTCATGTTGTACTCAACAGACTGGTTGCTATGAACATCCCAAGTGAGATATTAAAATATTTTTTCAGTTTGCTTTACACCAGCTTTTATTATCACAGTATTGATGTTAGCAATTAAGTGCTTTTTTCCCCCAAGATCCAGGGCTTTAATCAGAAAAATTTTGCATTACAGAGATTGCATTCTGTTGCACATATTTCTTGCTCTTCCTCACAAATAAGTTTAATGCTTCTCCACTTCCAAATATTGGAATTTCTTAAGTTCCAAAAACTGAGTTGTCATCTGATGTAACTTTACAGTAACTCTTCTTATTTTCTGTGGAATTTATTATTTGGTAACAAAGGATTTTTTATTGTTAAGAACAATCTCTAAAATACTACTTCTCCAGAGTTCCTCAGTCTTCCCTCAAGCAAAGCAGAACTGTCTGTAAAAGCAGGGTTAATGCTGAATGATTAGTCTGGTATTATGGAACATTTGTAGACTCTGAGCAGGCTTTTTTTTTTCCTCTCTGCCTTTTCACAACTAGTTAATCTTTCTGGTGGTGTAGAATAAGGCTCAGATTCAGGACTGGTTTTTTGGTTTCATAATCTTCCTGATTCCCCTTGCACATCTGGAAGAAGCTCAACTTTGGAATTGTGCTGAATTTGTCAGGGTAGCTGAATTGCTGTATTGTGTTGAGATGTAAAATTGAGAAGTACACAACAGATTGTGAAGACCTGCAAAGCAACAGGAAGCTTCTTCAGGAAGCATTAATTTCAAAGTAATTTAAACTATGTGTAAATATAGAAATTTAGAAGCTATGTCTTCCTACATACATCAGTCAGTCTTGAAAATGAGGTTTCAGATGTCTGTAGGATAGGTATTTTACAGGTCTGGCAACTTTTGGAAAGTTACTGAGAACCTTGTTGGACACTTACCCTGTGTCCTGCTCTTAAAATATGCTAGGATTAATTCTCCAATGCACCTCAATCTTCTTTAATGGACAATAAACTAAAATGTATTTATTTTAGGCCTCAAAGGATTGTCCTATTTTCTGATCGCCTACTCAGCTTTTGCTTGTTAGCTGGTAAAATTACTGTTGTCTTGCCAACCAAGTTTGAATCTATTGTAGAGCCAGTGTTCAAAGTACTTTTATTAATAACTATGAACTGTCTGAGGTTTCTGAGGCCTCTAACTGGACCAAATTTTTTTAAATATCGCTGTTTGTCATTTACATGATGAAATAGAATATCTCATTACTGAATCTGGGTATGAGACCAGGCTGAGAAGGAGAGTGAGGTGGTTCAGCAACTTCTGAAATGCAAGATTAGAATGCCAATTAACCTTGCTTTATGGGGATAATTATCAGAGGGTAATTCAGGAACAGCTAGAGAGGTGTTATGCTTAAGCAGAAATATTCAGTAATGCAGATATTCCCTAACTTAATGTTTAAGGCACAGAATCCCAGAACAGAGTCAAGAGGTGAATCACAAATTAAACATCATCATCTTGCTAGGGTAAAAAAAATCCCTAAGCTCTGTGCAGGAGTAACTATACAGGAGTGTCGTTTGCAAGATAGATGAAATCATTCCCCACTCAACTTAGTTTTTCAAAGGTCTCTACTGGAGAATAAAATTGACCAAGTAGACTAAGTTATTGATTAAGAACATTAAGAGTGATCAGAAGGCTAAACCATAGATTTATGTGCATAACTTTCTGAATAAGTATGTATGTGCATTCATACATCTATATAAATATAAAACATACTTTAATATTGAGGGGAGACAGGATAATCTCTCAGGTATGTCAAAGGTTTCCCAAGCAGAGAGGTAATTTGTTTCTTAGCTGCTTGGATAAGGAAAATAAGTAACAGGTTTAAGCTGCAGCACAACAAAGAGTAGGAAAAGCTTTTTAATTCTAAGTTATTGCACTGGAGGCCTTTAAAGAAAATAAGGAATGTTTGAGATGTAACTTAGTGCTAACTTGTGGAGAGGAGTTCCAGCAGATACCATTTTCATACCTCTATCTTACAAGGGTTTATAACTATGGAATTGAGTCATATAGGTATTGGCCTGTATTAAGATGGTATGTGGACTTTGTTATTAGTTATACTAATAACATGGGGAAAGAACCTGCAAAACTCTGTGGGACAGTGTAGCAAAGTCACATCAAATAATGTTAGGATGGCTTTATTAATGTTCTTCTATTTAATACTTGACAATTTTGTCTGAAATACATAAATTTTATATTAGTTGTTTAGATTGTGTTCAAGAAAGTCATTAACTTAATAAAGACCTGATTTATTTATTATGTTGGGCACTATCATTAGTGCAAATACCATTGCTGTAACATACTTTTTTCCAGAATGCCATTTGGTAATACTTCTAGATCTGGTGCGGTCAAAGCAAAGTTATCAAAGAATTAAAAGCTCTGATCTCTACAAAAGGTAAGACAAAGTTTATTTTGGCAAAGTCCACAGTAAGGCAGATCATTTTAATGTCAAAGTTAAAATTTTGAGTTAATACTCTTTTAATTCTGCAAGTAGAAAGACTCACATCTGCTCTGAAGGGAGAAGTTAACGTCTTTAGCCTCATTCTTTACATAGGACTAAACAGGATGAAGTTCAGATACAAGAGCAGTCCTGCAGGAAGGGACCTGGGGGTACTGGTTAGCAGCAGCTCAAGAGGAGCCAGCAGTGTGCCCTGGCACCAAGAGGGAAACCACATCCTGGCATGCATCAAACATGACATGGTCAGCCAGTCAAGAGAGGGGACTGTCCCCCTGTATTTACTGTTCATGTGGCCTCACCTGGAATACAGCGTGCAGCTCTGGACCCCACAATTTAAGGAGGATGTGAAGATCCTTGGATGTGTCCAGGGGGCAACAAAGCTGGTGACAGGGCTGGAAGGCCTGTGAGGAATAGTCTCATTTAGAGAGAAGGAGTCTGTGCATGGCAGATGGGGGATGTCAAACCCTGGAACAGGCTTCCTGGAGAGGTGGTCAACACCCCAAGCCTGTCAGGGTTCACGAGGCCTTTAGACAATGCCCTTAACAACCTGCTTTAGCTTTTGGTCAGCCCTGAAGTGCTGAGGCAGTTGGACTAAATGGTCCTTGTAGGTCCCTTCCAACTGAAAATCTGATCTTCCTCCCTCTTCTTTCAACATAGACTATCAAAATGTATGTACTTAGATTCATGTGGTCTTTGGAACTGCCATTGTTATATCCAATCCTGTTAGTGCTGCATAAATACATTTTCTGATAATTCAATGAAAAAGAAATAGAAAAACATTTTCTAAAAGTACTAGTTAAACAATGTAACAAGGTATAAGTTAAAATTAATTGTGTGTAAGATTTGTTATATATACACACACATCTGTGTGCTTAAACAACCTTCTGATAGGATATTAAAAAAAAACAAAAAACAACCTCTCTCACCTCCCCAGACAGCCATTTCTTAAACCATAACAAACCACAAATCCTTAATCTGATTTTTCCATCTCAGAACATTTGAAGTTTCACTTTAACAGACTAATGAATTGGTCCACTGGACTTACACATTTAAACCTAAAACTTTTCAGAAAGTTCAGCATAATATTCAGTTACAGCTAAATCACATAACTTCATAGACAATCAGACAGCATCGCCCCAGAAGATTATAGAAAATTAATGATAATCTTTTGATAAAGTTACCATGAATAGCAGAGGCTAATAAAAAGAAAATTCAGCCATCAATGTACTGCAGTTCTAACCCTACAGAATGTCTCTCTCTCCCCATCACTAACACATAATACCAATGTTACTTATTTAAATATTCAGTAGTAAAAAAATTCCACTTTGCAAACAATTTGCTTTTAAGACTCCAAATTAATGCCACACTTATGACAAAGAGCAAGCTTCCAATTTCTGCAATATTTTGTTTTCTTTTAGCAACTTAATCAGAACTAAACAAGTCTTTCACCTAATTCACAACATTTTGGCTGTCTTACAAAGGATATTCCAAAGTATTTTGTAAAAGTTCATGTTACTTCTCCTTTCACATTTTCTGAGATGCCCAGGGCAGTAATAAGAGAGGAAGCATTCCACATGGTAAAATTGCATCACGAAAAGAAAGTTACCTAAATTTTTCTATTACATTTGAGGCGCTTTATAAATATTAGAAAACACTTTGTCCTCACCATGTAAAAAAATGGACTCTGGCATTCACTTTCTCCTTCTATGAAAAAGCACTGCATATTTAGTTATTTTTTGATACGTACATTTTTGGATAATTGATCTTATACTTCTGCTTTTCTTTAGTTCTCCGTACATTGCTATGGAGAGACCAACAGAGACAGCAATGCTTCTGAGCCTTACTGGTGTTCGTTCCATTATAGCCAACCAGTGGTACACTACCTGGCCAGAGAATGCAGAAAGGCTTGACATTTTGTTCCAGAGTAAGTGTGTGTATTTGGCTTCATCTGCATGTTTATTAGTTCATGCATTTGTATGCATGTGCTCATCGAGGGTGTGCATCTGCTTGTCTCCCATCTCTCCTCTTTCTTTGCTCTTTACCAGATCCTCCCTGGAGTTTCCATAGGATGTAAACTGCATGCAGGAGCCACTATGTTATTGGCAGTTTGATCTTTCAAACTGAACAGTAACCTACTCAAATCCATTTTAGTGAGGGGTTTGTATGAAGGGGGGCAGTGCCACAGGCTGTGGCAAACTGTAGTTGCATAAACTATGGGGAAAAAGCAGGACAGAACACACCCTCAGAGATACAAAACTTAATCTGTAAAAGTTAATGAAAAAGGATACCTTTAATTGTGAAGACACCAGGTTGTACATTTGATATTTTCTTGGTTTTCAAACCTTCATTAAAAGCTCATAGAAACTAACATTTTTTTTCCAGATTTGTTGAGCACTGGTAGAACAACTGGACAGACAATCGATCTTCTTCAAAAAAGTAAGATTCACAGGGAAAGGGATTCCATTAATTAGCAAGAATTAAAAAGCTTAGTACAAAAGACTGGCAGTGAATGGTAACTAGAACCTGGTAGACCTATGGATAGATCACAGGTATAAGTGAAAACTTTCAGAAGAGCCATGAGAAATTTTTGTAACGCTCCTTAGCAAGAATTGAGTGGGAAGACCACTGATACAATATTATAGTTGGAGTAACAGTATTTTACATATAGAAATTTTGGGGGGAGGCTTTGTCATAGCTGACTAAAAGCTAAAATTTATGCTCTGCTGAACTGTTATAAAATGAAATAATGTGACTAAAAAGTCACATGAGGAAGGAGCATGACATGAACCATGTAAGTGGTATGGATTATAGACTGCAAAAAGATAAGTTGAACCTGCAGTGGTAAGACAGTCTGTACTGTAAAGGGCACACCAAATATATGAAGTTCCACCTGGCATCCCTTGTTGGAGAGAAGAGAAGAGAAGGATTTTTTGAGTAAAACAACTTAATATACTGTTTATAAAAGTATATAGTTATTTTTCATTGTATGTGATATAATTCTTAGAACAAGGGTAGAACAATAAATTTTAATTATAACTGACACTATCACAATTGAAGAGAGTTCAGATAAGAAACATTGCCTGGTTTTCATGGTTTGTTTTGGTGGATGTTTTTCAGAAAATGCTTGTTGGATATAGTGGCAATTATTAATATTATAATGTAAAAAAAAATCAAAGAGAAGATATGATAAATTACTGCACTTAAAGCAATCATATATGTAGCAATATTCACAAATAATATTATGCTTTAAAAATATTTTTATAGGGGAAGTGGATTCTCACAGCTCTCCTAGAGACAAAGCAGAACAGACCACTCACACTTCCTTAAATCTTCCTGCAACTCATCCATCATCTTTTAATTGTGTCCTCTATGGTTTACCCAATGTAGTTATTATGTAGTTTGTGTCAGACTTTTCTACTGGGAATAGCACTGCACCGAGCAGAGGGCACGTGTTTGAAGGTGTGGCAGATAACATTCTTATATGGCCATGGGAGAGGTGAGCTTAAGAAAAAAATGTAGTTTTTGCTGATAGACTGATTTCTGTTTCAGATGTAAACAGTTTGACATTAGAATAAGTGTCAGCAGAATATCAGAGAACATTTATGTTAGGGATTTCAGTTAGTACTCTAAGATTCTGAACTCAGTGAATCCATTAAAAGAAATTGGTAAGCACTAACACATCTTAAAGGAAATCAGGCTAGTGTTTTGGGGCACTGATGAATGAGTGACATTGGAACGTGTCGTTGTGTGTACTTCCATTTGGGAAAACTTACCAAGCCACCTTATTCCAAGTGAATTGATTTTAAACTTGATATACCAGTAGTTGTTCTTTAATTACAAAGCAAGGTAATGTTAAATAAAATGTTTAAAAATTTTTGCTTGCTTTATTTCCCTGTTCCCCTGAATAACATTTAAAGAGATAAAATTATTCCAAAATCAAAAAAAAATTACATTGTATTTTGTAATACGATCTGTTATTCAGCAGTGTATTTTCAAAATACATACTTTAAACCTTTATTTGTGGAGATAACAGTAGAAATAAATGTAAAATAATTTAGCAGTCATGGAAAATAAAAAGCTTTGATTGTTATTGCAACTAAAACCATTTAAAGAGTCTTTTTTCTCCAATAAAATGGTGATGTCTGTTTCCTGCAATACATTTTTTTTTTTGTTCCTGATGCAGCATTAAAATGGCTCTGAAAAGAGACTGTTATTGGCTACCTGCTGTGCTATGGTTAATTAGAAGCTGGTACAGAGTTAAAGGGCTATATAGACCATAATTACAAAATCATGACATGCAAAATACTTTTTTGGTGCACAGAATAGAATATAAATCTGTGCTTCCTTCCCTCTTGCTCTCACAAGTTAATTAGATAACCTTATATGAACTGGGACTGCTCTGTCAAACTGTGTTCCATACCATGCATGATTTTTATTCTCTTTACCTATAACTTTATTTAGACATAAAACAAATTTTTTTTATGGCCTGTATATGGGCAGTACAAATTAAGTAAAGATAGAGGTCATAGATTGTACTTAAGTTATCCAGCCTGAAAATTAAGGATTCGGTGTAAGGTATTTTCTAGTCTCTGAACGTACCGTGTTTCACTAGGTGCTGGCATGGGTCCCTTTTCCCAGGTTCTCACCTTTGTTTCTTTTTAGGTCTTAACAGGTACCTTTTCATCCCATCACTATTACACAGCAACTTTTTAAAAATCCTATGCATGGTATTTGGGAAGCTCAAGTATTTTTGAGTTTGAAGAAGCATTTTCTCTTGAATGAAGCAAACGTCCACACTTGTTGTTCAGTATAGCAAATGTCCATTTTATTGTTAATTTCTTAAATGATTTTTAGATAAATTTCCATATTGTTCTCCAACACATTCATTGCTATGAAATTGTATTTCCCTGCTGTTAATGGCATTTTTTACCTGGAATGCCATCTTCCTAGTGCTGTCTCTTTCTGTAAGATTAAAAGCTTTGAAAAAAAAGTGTATTTGATGGGAAACGTGAAGCTTTGTCTGCCTTGCTTCATGAAAAATTTTCATGAATTTGTATTAACTTCCACCTTCTTGAAATAAGAAATTTCATAAATAGTCAAGTCCAGAAAAGTTTCAGTGATTCATAAATGACAGCATTGTTCTTTGATAGTAATCCAGAGTAAAACCCACAGGCTTGCAAAGGTTAGAAAAGCCATTGATATCCAGGTACAATGGGCTTATTCAATAGTTTACTACTGTGGTTTTATTTATGAAACTGATGGAAATAACTTAATCTACTAAAGTGTTTTTCTCCAAAAATATTCCCATTTGTATTTGATACTTTAGCCCTAACTACATTGCAACAACCTCTGTCAGAAAGATGAATGAGTATGCCCAAAAATTTCTTTACAGTCTGACAGCACTACTTTATCAGAAAGCATTGATAAAGAGTAATAGCCTTACTATGGAAACTTCAAATCTGTAAGCTTTACTTGTTGAGAGTAAGATACTGGAAATACTAATCAGGGAAGCTGTGGCAGAATGCCTACAAATGGGCAATGTATACTGGGTAAGCGTAGTCAAAGTGGATGGCCTGCCTAATATCTCTGACAGGCATTTCTGAGGCTTTAAATAATGATTGACATAGGGTCGTAACTGTAGTCATAACCAAACTGCCTGGGGTACTAGGAGAGTATTCTCTGTATTACTGTGCAAATACCAGTCAGTAAAATCATTAACAGTAGCAGGACTACCTAAGTAGACAATAAACTGTACTTTATGTGGCAATGGATATGCATTCAGTGACAGAATACATCTCATTCATTCCTTTAGGAGCTGGTACTGCAAATAATATCTGCTCTTCCAGTACATGTTTGTGGCAGTGTGCAGTGACAGGCTTGTAAAAAAGAGTCACTTCAGGAAAAGATACATAGTAGAATTTGGAATTATTTCAAAAGGAGAAGAGCACAGACCAAGTAACACCTTTTATATATATTTTTTTTTTAAATATACAATGGTAATTAAGCAAAGGAGAAGAACCTGCTTCTTGTGCAGAAGAAGGATTCAGCAGCTCAGTTTTGGAATTCAGAATGCCCTGTTCAAGACAGTAAATTGAACAGAACTGTGCAAAGAAAGGTTGACAAGGAACACTGTAGAAAATTTATTTCAGAACCTGATTTGTATAAGCAGCAAGAAGAGATCTAGACCTACCTTCTTTCAGTTTAAAACCATTGCCACTTGGCCTCTCACTACAGGGCTTTGTAAAGGTCTCTCTCCATCTAAGACCCCTTTGAATGTTGAAAGGGTGCAAGAAGGTCTCACAAGAACAACCCCAACTCTCTCAGCCTTCACAGGAGAGGTGTTCCAGCCCTCCGACCCTCCTCTGGACCCATGCTCCAGGGCCTTGTCTGCCTTGCCCTGGAGCAAGACTCCAGCTGGGATCTCACAAGAACAAGAAATATTACTATATCAAGTGAGAAGTTACTTTTATGAAGTTAAAAATAACTTTAATACTTTTACTATAAAAAAAATAGTTTTCTACTTTTTGGAGGAGTTTTCTAGAGAAAGCTCTCTATTTATTAGACTGGGAGCTCTTAATTTTTAAAATATTATATATTGTGTAACGTGGAGGAAAAAACCCTACTAACTAATGACCAAGGAATAAATTACAGTACATACAGCTCAGGACATATGAGCCCTCTACTAGAAAGACATTGGCACAAGCCCAAACAACAAGAATAAAAGCTTCTGAAAATATTTCATCCTGGTGGCACTGCATGATTCCCTTGTGCTGTATCCATTCATTCAAGAAATATTAAACAGCTAGTGCTATTCCATGTATCAACGGCTTTAAAATAACTTTCTGAATTATGTCTCAGCAACATAACAAATCACATTATCAATTAGCTTTTATAACAGAAGTGACACCTCATAATATATTTGAGCATGAAAAGAATTGGTCAGCTAAAATTTATGTAATCTAAAAAATGTAAGGAGAAAAAAATCATGGTGAATTTATTAATAATATTCTAAGACAAGAACATAATTTGACTAGTAGGTAGCTGTCCAAGAAAAGTTCTAAATGTTCTGTAGGGAAGAACTGCAGCAGGTTTGCTACAAAATGATGGAAAATTAAAAAAAAAAAAAAGATCTGTCATTAGTCCTGACTGTAACTGCTCTAAAATTAAACTGCCATAAGCAATCATTCAAGGGTTTCTCATCACACATGCTACTCTTCAAAGCTGGGATAGCTGGTCCACACTTCTCAAAGGGACATGGTAGAGCAGATGCCAAAACTTAGCAGCTGATGGCTGTGGATATTTGTAAGCAGGGAAATTAGAGCAGATTTGAGATTGTTATAAAGATACATTCCCATAATTATCTAAGCCCATTCATGAGAGTCTGAACACTAATGACTTTACAACCTGCCAAGCCTTCTGATGCCTGTTTTGGCATCCTGTCTGACCTCAAAGCTACCCAGGAATGACATGTCAGAGGGGTGCCAATCATCCTCTGTGAATACAAATCCCTCCTCTCTACTGTGGGTGAAGGACCACCCCCAAGGCTGTAAGACTTGGAAGAGCTTTTTAAACCACCTCTCAGGTGTTCATTTATGCCTCCAACTGAAGCCTCTTTATGTGAGACAGTGACAGACAGTTACTAGCAGGGATGTTCAGAATGTGGTCAAGTTAAAGGTGCAGCCTTGTTTATGTGCCTTGAAATATGTGCCAGTCCATGGAAGACCCAAGTCATTACTCAGGTAATGAGTAGGTAAGAGCATTTCTCTGCTGGTGAGAGCAGAACATAAGTGATATTTCATGAACCTAGTAGGTACCATTTTCAAAAGCAGTAGTCACAAATGTCTCAAGTATAAACAAGTTCAATAAATTGCAACTTTCCAGAGGGCTACCTGTGGCTTATGGTACATGGAATAATTCCAGATGGTTTAATCCCGTTTTTACAAAAAACACAGTACATGCTAACAGTGTTGCTGCCATGTAAAATATCAATTATAATATTCCCTAAAATATTAATTGCTATTCATTATTATATATATATTTTTTAAAATGTTAAAATAAACATTGCAATCACACTAGTACATCTACCATGGAATGTATTCCTCCACTGTCAAGTGAGTATGTATACTAAGTCAGTGTTAAGTTCAATACAGCCGAAGCCAACAAAATAAAGACCCCTTTCAGAATTAAAGGCCTACATTTTAGGCTAAGAAGATACAAGAAATTAAAAAGGAAATAATCTTCAATAATCATAATCTTAAATCATAGTGTCTTGTGTAACCACCAGCAAATTAAGGTGTTGTTAATAGAGATATATATTTATTTGACTAGCTTTCTGAGAACTTTCAAACATAACTGCTGTCTTTTCACTTAGATTTTCAGTTTGGTGGCAATGTCCATT